AGCGACGACGAGTTTGGACGCGTGGACGACGAGGCGGAGGCCGCAGACGGAGGATCCCGCGGCGCAGGAGCAGGCAGCGAGCAGAGGGATGGGGATCGAATGGAGCTGGAGCCGGAGGAGGCGTCGCCATCGCCGGGCAAACACTTCGAGGAGAACGAGCAGTACCAGAAGCACGGCTGGATCGTGGGCGACTCGCACAAGAAGCTCGTGAAGCTGTTGGCCATCGCCAAGGGCAGCAAGAAGGTGGACAACTGCGGTGTCAAGCGGCGCACGCCCAAGCGCAAGTGCTAGGAGTGGGTAACGGGAGCGGACATGGTGGACGTGGAGCGTCACCAGATGCAGCAATAGCTGGGGAAGGAGCACGGCCTCCTGCCAGACGAGTCATAGCCATAGGCCTCGAGGGCGGAGTCGGCGCGGGCAGCCGACGACCCATCGCCGCCATCGATCACATACGTACTGCCATTGTGTCATCGTTAATCGTTAACGCCGGCGCCAGGAGGGGATCGCAATCGGGATCAGCATCAGGATCAGGATCAGGATGAGCTGGAGCTGCAGTTGGAGCGGGAGCACCCAAGTGCCCCCTATCCACTCGCCAGCAAAGCCACCTCCTGGCCCCGTACCCATTAACCGTATGCGGAGTATAAGCAACATATTTTTCTTTCTTTTAAACATCTAAGCGTTACATTATTTAGGTTTTTTTTTATTACATGTATTTATAATTAATAAACAAAACAAACAAAAAAGCGAAAAAGCAACAAATATAAATTTGAGCACAAGAATCCAAAGAGAACGATAGTATTCTCATTTGGGCAACCCAATAGTGAACGAAGAGATGCAAATGCCCAGTTTTCCTCAAATTTAACTTCGGTTTTATTTAATATATTTTACAACTAGCGGTATCTTTACATATATAACATGTAAAAAAAAATAGAGTTAAGGAATAGTTAAAAAAACGTGGAGCACAATGGAGGCGACGTCGTGTGGCGGAGCGAACGCTGCAGTCTCGGCGAGCTCACACCCAGCCGATTGATTGGTTTGTGTGTTGATGTTTCTGCTCTTGCCAAAGGATAAATGCGAAGCAAAACAAAGTTCCATCAAGGATTAGAATGTGTGCGGAGTTAAATGGTGGTGAGTGTGAGTCCGGCTGGATGCACCGATGTAAGAGATATTGGTGGGTCTCGCGTCGACTGGTGACTGACTGATGAGCTGCGTTCGCCGCTGGCCGCTCGACGTCATCGTTCCGCATCATGACTGGCTTCGGTTCTCATCACACCTCTCTCCGTCTGTCGCCCACTCACTGGCAGTGGCTTACATCATGCCACCCATACCGCCCATGCCTCCCATGCCGCCCATACCTCCCATGCCGGGCATGCCTGGAGCACCATCCTCCTTGGGGATCTCGGTAACCACAGCCTCGGCGGTGGTCAGCAGCGAGGCCACACCGGAGGCATCTGTGATGGCGGTGCGCACCACCTTGGTGGGATCGATGATGCCCTTCTCGATCAGGTTGCCGTACTCGCCCTTCAGCGCATCGTAGCCGTAGTCACCGGTCTGGGTCTCCACCTTGGCCACCACCATGGCGCCATCAACGCCGGCATTCTTGGCAATCGTCATGCATGGCATGCGCAGGGCACGACGCACAATCTCCACGCCGAGTTTCTGTAAGGGATTTCATACAGATTAATACGAATAACAGAGCAGAGAGAAGGAGATGTTCTTACCTGATCCTCATTGGTGGTCTGGACACCCTCCAGCTTCTCAATGCAACGCAGCAGAGCGGTGCCGCCTCCGGGAACGATTCCCTCTTCGACGGCAGCGCGGGTGGCGTTCAGGGCATCGTGAACGCGATCCTTCTTCTCGTTGACCTCCACCTCGCTGGAGCCACCAACGCGCAGCAGGGCAACGCCGGAGGCCAAGCGGGCCAGACGCTCCTGCAGTTTCTCCTTCTCGTACTCGGAGGTGGTATCCTCGATCTGTTCCTTGATCTGATTGGCGCGACGGAGCACATCATCCTTCTTGCCCTTGCCCTTCAGCAGCAGGGTGTCGTCCTTGGTGATCACCACTTCGCCGACCTGGCCCAAATCGCTGACCTTGACATCCTCCAGCTTGACGAGATCAGCATCATCGCCGAAGACAATGCCGCCGGAGGCGATGGCCATGTCGGTGAGAGTGCTCTTGCGGTTGTCACCGAATCCGGGAGCCTTGACGGCAGCCACCTGCAGACCGATCTTGAGGCGGTTCACCACCAGGGTGCTCAGGGCCTCACCATCGATATCCTCGGCAATGATGACCAGGGGCTTGCGCTGGGCGTTGGCCAGCTCCAGAGCGGGAATGATGCTCTGCACCGATGAGATCTTCTTCTCGGACAGCAGGAGCAGGGCATCCTGAAACTCCACCTTAGCGCCCTTCGATGAGTTGATGAAGTAGGGAGAGATGTAGCCGCGATCGAACTTCATGCCCTCGATCACCTCCAGCTCATCGTTGAGGGTCTTGCCATCCTTGACGGTGATGACGCCATCGCGTCCCACCTTCTTCATGGCCTCGCTGATGAGGTTGCCGATGGCCTGATCGCCGTTGGCCGAGATGGTGGCCACCTGCGCGATCTCCTCGGGCGTGCTCACGGGACGCGACATGGACTTCAAGTTATCCTTGACGGTCTCAACGGCCAGCATGACACCACGACGGATCTCGACGGGATTGGCGCCCTTGGAGATCTTCTCAAAGCCCTCCTTGGCGATGGCGCGGGCCAGAACGGTGGCCGTGGTGGTGCCATCACCAGCCTCCTCATTAGTGTTGTTGGCCACATCCTGAACCAGCTTGGCACCAATGTTCTGGAACTTGTCCTTCAACTCAATGGACTTGGCCACAGTGACGCCGTCCTTGGTGATCTTGGGCGAACCCCACGACTGCTCGATGATCACATTGCGACCCTTGGGGCCCATGGTCACCGCCACAGCATCGGCCAGCACATCGACGCCCTGGAGCATCATGGCGCGCACCTCAGGACCGAAACGCACGTCCTTCGCATAGCCGCGCATGGCCAACTGGCGGCTGATGGAGGAGCGAGCAAGCGAAACTGGCAAACGGAACATCTGTGGAGGAGCAGAGGATTGGGATTGAGTTTATTGGTTGGTGACAAATGGCCGGCAAAGCAGAGCACGTGTTCTGCTTAAGAGTTCCACTAAGATGTGGTTGCTTTGCGTTGTTTACCCCGTGGTTTCTTAGTTGATAAGAGAGTGCTTCCAGCAGGTCAAAGGTCAGAAGTCTTCGTTCTCGAATGTGAATTTCGGAAAATAAGGTGAGCACAGCTTAACACATACAGATCGTTTGAGTTTTCTGATAATCTGTGCGTGTGGGCTTCTCAAACTACTGACAGTAAAACCAATGGATATTCAGACTACTACATTTGTAAATTTGTATGCAAAAATCGAAGATATTTATGGGAATTACATAAACGCGTGCTGCACGTGTTCCAAAAAATATGTATACATATTTGTTAATTATAAAAGAATTACGAATTATGAAAAAATTATATACATTTTTGTAATAAAACCCAATGCACAGAATTCATTATCAACATAATCCAAGCGCTAATTTAGGGAACACGTGGATAAGACAAATACAGATAAAAATACATATAGTTTCTGTTTATAAAAATCACTAGCTTTGACAATTACATAAAGTAATTAATATCTCTGAGAAAATTGCATAAGTCATTTGTTCAGAAAAAATATGTTTTTTGAATTGCAAATTAATGTACAATACAGATGAATTGAAACAAAAAGCACTTATGGTTTTTAACAAATATAATGATGAAACAGTTGTAAAAGCAACCCAATACGAGATATTTATAAGGACGGACAGATTATCATTATTTTGAAGAAAAAAAAACAGAACCAATGAGTTTTGGTAGTATTATAAGCTCTATACAATTATGTAAATCCGTTCGTTGCAGCAGCGGGACTTCACTGTACCGGCCAGGCCCCCTCCTTCCAGTGACCAGCCCACCCCACCCCCCGTGGAACGAACTACAATGGCATCTCGGCACCGAGCATTCCAGAAGAAACGATTTATGTAACCAGCACTTGGGCAAAGAAACTCAAATAGCTCCCGAAATCGAAGGGCATGTTATTCAATGAACTCAAGATTCCCGAGAAACGAGAGTGGAACGAAAGCAGGGAAAGAGCAAGCAGTAGCAGCACATGCAATGCCTTCTGATAAATGTGAAATTGCCGGCAAGCAGTGGAAAACATGTGCAACTCATTTTCCACCAGCTTTCCAATGTGTCCGCTTGTGTGTGTGTGAAGTGAATTTACTAAATTCTTATTAGGATACAATAATTTACTACCATGCAGACATTGTACGCATTGCTGTAATCAATGAGCAGAACCTTCTGGAAACACGATTTGCCGGCTATCTGCCAGATTGTTCGCTCTTATATAACCGCGAATGGCACACACACACACACATGCATTTGTACATAAACTTGAAATTCAGGTGGAAAAGCGGTAGTGGCGATGGAAATCGAATTGTAGAACTTACTGTGAATTAAACTGGTACTGCGAATTATTAACAAGACAGTTAAACGTACGCTTCCGATTCTATTTGATGTGAAACAACAAGCTCACTTCACCACAGTTTACTCGCTTCGAAATGTGCGCACAGGCGGTCCGAACTTCCTAACCTTAATGTGTATCGGTGTGACCGTTCGCGGGCCATTGAAAATAGCCGGCGGTTATCGATTGTCTTTCTGGGCAATCGCATGTTATCACCATTCATTTGGGGGACTCGCATAGCAAGTTAACTTTATAATCACTTGATCTTTTACCGATAAATTGCATCTCTTGTATTTATATGAGGGAATAGAATTGATTATTAGTATTTATATTATTATAAGAAGTAAGTACAACGCAACAATCAATTATTATCCAATTATATTCTAGTATCTACCCAAATGTATCGGAATTAACTGTCGAAGTAAGCTTTGTGGCGTGATGCTAGAGACATGTGAAGATTTTGGAAACGATAGTATCGTGCATTTCAGTTTTCGCGCATTTTTGTTTTTTCTAAAATGGTAACATATTGTATATTTATAACAAACATTTATAACAATTATTAACAAACTGAATCCTTCGCTCGATTCCATTGGTAATTGGTCCAATGGAGTTCATGTAGCCCATTAAGACGTCCAAATCCAAAGGACCAAACCTTGTAAAAAACAAATGGATACGGAGGCCGGAAACCTGAAGGAATAGGTAGAATTGCGGCGTGGGCGAGCTGGCATTCATTAACCCGACTTTGGCCCACTATCCGGTCGGCCATGGGTTCCATCTCCAGTTGCCAAGGCACCATGGCCTGCAGAACGAGGCATCTTTAAGGGATTTCGAATGGTATGTTATGATATATTATTATAGAGCCTAACTCATTACCCAGCATCATTTCTCTTCAATATTTTTATAATATACCAACAAAAAAGAAACAAGAGATTATTAACTATTTCTGATACATTTATTGTGGTAAATGCAACAATTACAATGAACATTATGGATTATAGTACATAATCAGTTGAGCACTGTGATGCGTCCGTCGAGGCCCTGGTAAATGGGATTGATGTGATTGCTGTACGAGATTAGGGCATCCAAGTCCGTGACCCCCATTCTAAAATCAGTAATAATTGAAATGAAACTATAACAAAGCATAAAAGATGAGTGGAGTGTACGTACTGGAGGTCCGTGCCCTCGGCTAGCATGGTGTAGCCATCGCCACCAGCCTGCAGGAAGTTGGGCGATGTGAGGCGATAGAGCTTATTGGATACCAGAGGCTCGTACTTGGGCACCTGGCAATCCGCACAACGAATCGATGCGGATATAACCCGCGATCCCACGGGCTTCGTGTAGTCGTATTTCACCCGGATGCCCGATAACTGCAGATTGATATGCGATCCGGTCACCCCGTTCTCAAGGTCCACCTTGCTCACGGCCCACTCCATTGCCTCCACTATCTTGTTGCCCGGCAGATTGTAGGAAACTAGCGTATTCTCGAACGGCGACATGCTGACTATATGGGCGTACGTGAGATCTGAGGAATGCGAAATCTTGGCATTAAAATGTAGACTTTCAGAGGAGTTTTTCGTTGTAGTTGTGTTGTAGAAATTCAAAGTAATTGAAAAATGTCCCAAGGCTGAAGTTCTAAACTCCATAACTCAACTTATCTTAATCGGATTTTGAAGTGGCATACCTTAAAATGTTTGTGGTGCAATTCTCTAAAGATCTGCATTCAAATTTAGAATTTTTTTTTTTTTCGATTTTTTTTTGTAATTTTTCGGATGGTGTTGTTGGGAATTCAAAAAAATGAAAAAATATCCCAAGGCTGAAGTTCTAAACTCCACAACTCAACTTATCTTAATCGGATTTTGAAGTGGCATACCTTAAAATGTTTGTGGCGCAATTCTCTAAAGATCTGCATTCAAATTAAAAATTATTTTTTTTTTCGATTTTTTTTTGTAATTTTTCGGATGGTGTTGTTGGGAATTCAAAAAAATGAAAAAATGTCCCAAGGCTGAAGTTCTAAACTCCATAACTCAACTTATCTTAATCGGATTTTGAAGTGGCATACCTCAAAATGTTTGTGGTGCAATTCTCTAAAGATCTGCATTCAAATTTAGAATTTTTTTTTTTTCGATTTTTTTTTGTAATTTTTCGGATGGTGTTGTTGGGAATTCAAAAAAATGAAAAAATGTCCCAAGGCTGAAGTTCTAAACTCCATAACTCAACTTATCTTAATCGGATTTTGAAGTGGCATACCTCAAAATGTTTGTGGTGCAATTCTCTAAAGATCTGCATTCAAATTTAGAATTTTTTTTTTTTTCGATTTTTTTTTGTAATTTTTCGGATGGTGTTGTTGGGAATTCAAAAAAATGAAAAAATGTCCCAAGGCTGAAGTTCTAAACTCCATAACTCAACTTATCTTAATCGGATTTTGAAGTGGCATACCTCAAAATGTTTGTGGTGCAATTCTCTAAAGATCTGCATTCAAATTTAGAATTTTTTTTTTTTTCGATTTTTTTTTGTAATTTTTCGGATGGTGTTGTTGGGAATTCAAAAAAATTGAAAAAATGTCCCAAGGCTGATTTTCCAAGCCCCATAACGCAACTAATCTTAATCGGATTTTGAAGTGGCATACCTCAAAATGTTTGTGGTGCAATTCTCTAAAGATCTGCATTCAAATTTAGAATTTTTTTTTTTTTCGATTTTTTTTTGTAATTTTTCGGATGGTGTTGTTGGGAATTCAAAAAAATGAAAAAATGTCCCAAGGCTGATTTTCCAAGCCCCATAACTCAACTTATCTTAATCGGATTTTGAAGTGGCATACCTTAAAATGTTTGTGGCGCAATTCTCTAAAGATCTGCATTCAAATTAAAAATTATTTTTTTTTTCGATTTCTTTTGTAATTTTTCGGATGGTGTTGTTGGGAATTCAAAAAAATGAAAAAATGTCCCAAGGCTGAAGTTCTAAACTCCATAACTCAACTTATCTTAATCGGATTTTGAAGTGGCATACCTCAAAATGTTTGTGGTGCAATTCTCTAAAGATCTGCATTCAAATTTAGAATTTTTTTTTTTTCGATTTTTTTATGTAATTTTTCGGATGGTGTTGTTGGGAATTCAAAAAAATGAAAAAATGTCCCAAGGCTGATTTTCCAAGCCCCATAACTCAACTTATCTTAATCGGATTTTGAAGTGGCATACCTTAAAATGTTTGTGGTGCAATTCTCTAAAGATCTGCATTCAAATTAAAAATTATTTTTTTTTTCGATTTTTTTTTGTAATTTTTCGGATGGTGTTGTTGGGAATTCAAAAAAATGAAAAAATGTCCCAAGGCTGAAGTTCTAAACTCCATAACTCAACTTATCTTAATCGGATTTTGAAGTGACATACCTCAAAATGTTTGTGGTGCAATTCTCTAAAGATCTGCATTCAAATTTAGAATTTTTTTTTTTTTCGATTTTTTTTTGTAATTTTTCGGATGGTGTTGTTGGGAATTCAAAAAAATGAAAAAATGTCCCAAGGCTGAAGTTCTAAACTCCATAACTCAACTTATCTTAATCGGATTTTGAAGTGGCATACCTCAAAATGTTTGTGGTGCAATTCTCTAAAGATCTGCATTCAAATTTAGAATTTTTTTTTTTTCGATTTTTTTATGTAATTTTTCGGATGGTGTTGTTGGGAATTCAAAAAAATGAAAAAATGTCCCAAGGCTGATTTTCCAAGCCCCATAACTCAACTTATCTTAATCGGATTTTGAAGTGGCATACCTTAAAATGTTTGTGGTGCAATTCTCTAAAGATCTGCATTCAAATTAAAAATTATTTTTTTTTTCGATTTTTTTTTGTAATTTTTCGGATGGTGTTGTTGGGAATTCAAAAAAATGAAAAAATGTCCCAAGGCTGATTTTCCAAGCCCCATAACTCAACTTATCTTAATCGGATTTTGAAGTGGCATACCTTAAAATGTTTGTGGTGCAATTCTCTAAAGATCTGCATTCAAATTAAAAATTATTTTTTTTTTCGATTTTTTTTTGTAATTTTTCGGATGGTGTTGTTGGGAATTCAAAAAAATGAAAAAATGTCCCAAGGCTGAAGTTCTAAACTCCATAACTCAACTTATCTTAATCGGATTTTGAAGTGGCATACCTCAAAATGTTTGTGGTGCAATTCTCTAAAGATCTGCATTCAAATTTAGAATTTTTTTTTTTTCGATTTTTTTATGTAATTTTTCGGATGGTGTTGTTGGGAATTCAAAAAAATGAAAAAATGTCCCAAGGCTGATTTTCCAAGCCCCATAACTCAACTTATCTTAATCGGATTTTGAAGTGGCATACCTTAAAATGTTTGTGGTGCAATTCTCTAAAGATCTGCATTCAAATTTAGAATTTTTTTTTTTTTCGATTTTTTTTTGTAATTTTTCGGATGGTGTTGTTGGGAATTCAAAAAAAATGAAAAAATGTCCCAAGGCTGATTTTCCAAGCCCCATAACGCAACTAATCTTAATCGGATTTTGAAGTGGCATACCTCAAAATGTTTGTGGCACAATTCTTTAAAAATCTGCATTCAAATTTAAAAATTTTAGAAATTTTTTAGAAATTTAATTTTTTTTGTAATTTTTCTGATATATAATTTGTAGAAATTCTAAAAATTAAAAAAAAAACCGCCCAAAATTGTTATTTTTTTATATATCTTGTAAATCTCTATAGATTTGCAAAAAACTTTTTGCCACGCCCACACTTTTAAAAATTTTGTTAGTTTTATATCGTTTTATTATTTTTTTTTTCTCAATTTCTACCGATATTCCAGAAAATGTTGAAATTTCTCGTTTGCACTTCCACTAGCTGAGTAACAAATATCTGATGAGGGAACTCGACTTATCTTATTTTTTTTTAGAAAAATTGGCAAAAAATGGAATATTTAGCTGTGAATGTCAATCGAAAAGAAATTGTACAATTTCGACGAGATATGGCATTCCATATATGGACCAATAACTCAACTGGCCAAAAATTATCACATAGCAAAAATTACTACTGTTTTGTGCAGTTTTTAACCCAAATGAACCCTCCCTATACCTTTATTTTTTTCTGACGTAATAAATCTCTAAATTTGAATGCCACTCAATCGGGATATTAATAGTGAGCTCAACGAGACGTGACCATAAATATTTGGACCACTATTTGAAATGAATTGGGTAAAAACCAGATTGTGCTTAAAAAAAGCTTAGAAATTAATTGTGAAATAAATTCCTTTACTTACCGCCTCTGTAAAGCGGCACGCGGAGTCCTCCGATGTTCATGAGTCCGGCGGATACATTCGTCCAGTTCTCCTCTTCATACGAAGCCATTCCCACGAACTGCAAGTGGGGAGATTTCATATATTTAAACTACAAAAGGTTTTCCCACTTACAGAATGGACCATGGCGTCGCAGAAGAAGTTACCCAGGTTGCACTCTCCGGCGGCACAATCGTCCTTGGTGAGGTCCACCTTGGAAGTGCCCACCACTACCTTGCCCATTTCGTCGATCTCCTCCTTCCATGGCTGCATAGCCTCCAGCACTTCCTCGTCTACAGGGAGCACAATGCCCAGACACAGATGGATTACACTATTTGCCATCAAGGACTTTCACATGGAACACAGCAAGTCACAGGAACTGATTTGCCAGAGCGTACGTAGAACAAGATGCACGAGGAACAATAACTTATAGTTACACAGAAAACAAATCACTTGCAGCTTCCACAAAAAAAAAATATTTGAACTAGTAAAATGAAGCACTGATATAAGCAAATGAGTTAAAAGGTATTTTGCATATTAATGTGTTATAACTAAAATACGAAATGATCTTGTGAACTTTTAGATCCCTACATATCCACTCGTACTGACCTTCTGGCACGGATTGGTCCATGTAGAGCGGATCGCCTTCGAAGTCCAGCACATCGCCATTGTCATCGAAGTAGACGATCAGGTTGCCCACGTAGCGGGCATAGGCCGATGCCTGGACGATGAGGACGCGGTGGCCAGAGCTGTGGATCACCTCGGTGGGATAATCACCGGCGGCACTGTGTGGACCGGGCGGCACACCCGTGTAGAGGAAGGTGTGCGAGTGGGAGCCCACAATGACGTCGATCCAGTCGCCGGCATTCGCGGCGATCTGCTGATCCACATCGTAGCCGCAGTGGGAGACCACGATGATGATGTTGGCACCCTGGGCCTTCAGCAGCTGCGCCTCCTCGCGGATGGTGTCGCTCTCATTGCGGAAGATTACCTTGCCGGTATTGGCCAGATCCTGCAGCATATCCACTGAACTTATATGCAATCTAGCTGATGGAATCACCTAAACTCACGTAAGTTGTCTCCAGGATAACACCAATCACGCCAATCTTGCGACCCGATCGCTCGATTATCATCGACTTTTTGTACTTGCCCTCCAGGGTGGGCTCATGGGCGCAGTCCATGTTGGCCACCAGCATGTTGGTTTGCACCGTCTCCAGGAAGGGCACCAAGCCCTCCACTCCATGATCGAACTCGTGATTGCCCAGGGTCTGAAAAGGTTAGTAAATGATGGATCTCCCACTTATTAAACGAGTTTAAAAGGCGTCATCCATCCAAGTAGCTCATGGATACCATCACCTACCATGACATCAGCGGGCAGAAGGTTCAGCATCTGCTGGGTGACGTTCCATCGACCGACGTTGTACCACAACGTGCCCTGAAAGCTGTCGCCAGCATTGATGTAGATGGGATTGAGCTCCGCCTGCTCCTGGAGCAGCCGCCTCACGGTGTAGACGGTGCGCGGATAGCCACCGATGCACTCCTCACCCTTGTCGCAGGTGCCACCGGAGGTGTCCGTGATCTCGAACCTGCGGATAAACGGATCGCAATCGAAGCGGGGATTAGCTCTCGAGTGGGCTCGTGCTCGGCGATTCGCCATGGCCGTATCGTTATCGGGATCGCGGAATCGGCATACGAAACGAAATCAGTACGTGGGCCTGATACGCCATGGTTTACGATCATGTGCTGGCCATAAACCGATCCAATCCGATCATGCCTCACCTGGCGTGCAAATCATTGATGTGGATTATGGACACGGGAAAACCCTCTTTGTCGGCAGCCTCCGAGGATGACCACATGACCGTCATCACCACCACAACCGCGTACAGCGACCATGTCAGTCGATTGCAAGCGTTGGCCATTTGACTCCAACGCAACTGCACTTCACCGGAAAAAGGCAACCAAAGAAATTCAAGTGAGGGTACACCCAGTCCGATGGCCGTCGATAAGGCAACTAAATGGCCAACATTGCGACGCCAGCCAAATCTGAATGGGCCTCGCAGCCGATCCGATCTAGTGGGCACTCTCCTCCGCTGATAAGCCAAGTATGTACTTTATGCGCGACCTGTACACGGGAAAAAACTGGGGCTCATGCGAGGAGTGTAACAATGTATTTGAACTCTTACATTTTTGATTTCCCTGTTAAAAATACATGTATTCCTGTTTAAATTGAATTGGCATATTTAAAAGTGTTATTATACCACCATTCTTTTGAGCTTCAACGTTCTTTTGACGGCAGTGTAGCAATTTAGCTTGCTTCTCTTACTCCCACGTATTGCGATTTTCATTTGTGCCAAATTGCTTTTCTAGGCAGTGCAGATACATTGGTAACCTAGGCGATAAGAAACTATCATTTTCCAAAAGCTTACACTAACACTTTTCCTGACTTGCAATGCGTGTTACTCATACGATGCGTTGCCAGCTTTCTTTCTCCAGTAACTACTAATCCCAACAGCCTGCGAATATGCCCTCAATGGTCGCACTGCTGGGTATTAAACACCTAATGATATGCGCCTGTAGATCCCCGATAAGCAAGTATGGTCGAGAGATAGTGGCAAACGGATATGATGGCGCTATTCCGGTAATACTCAACTGCTGACACATGTTACACGAGCACGGCACTTGATATATGGACTACAACCGTCTACAACCGATTCTTTATTACGTTCTGGCGCAGATAAAATATATGAGCTTGGGACCTGGTCAGCCATCAATTTGGTATTTATAGCGCCATTCGGGCCAACAAAAGCGAATTAGTTATATTACATGTACCCAAAGGTTCGTGCTCAACGGTAGCATCCGTATGAGTAAGAAACTTCCCTTTCTACGGAAGATTATGCAGACCATTAGCAGGCGTAATCCTGAAAATAATGATATATTATTGAACTTACTTTAATGCCAATCAAGCACTGAGGGCAATCGCCAAGATGAACACTCCTATCAGCTTTATAAGGCGCTAATAAACCAGATTTCAATCAATACAATCAATACTTGAGATAACGCAGGTGAATCAAACAGGAATAACACCGCAGCCCAGAGGCCAAAAGAGACTTGGGGTATTCACCCGTACCCGTATAACCAGGGACTCGATTACCGTATGTTCGATTGTACATATCCGTATAAAATAGTACAATCATTTATTTCATTCTCATTGACAATAGATTGAGAGCTCTTCGTGGATTACTCGTAGGTATAAAGCACACTATGCATTTAAGTATTATGTTTGTCTGTATATATGTAGATGTCAGCGCAAGTATGTATATATATATATCATGTATATATATATAATATAAGTTGTATATAAATATAAGGTATATGTAATATGTCTGTGTATAAGTATCAATGTATTAAGTTAATTGCTTAGCGTAAAGCACAGAGAATTTTGATATGAGAATGACTGAGAACATTCCTGCATGCGGCGCGCTCAGAGATCAGATACGGGCTCCATCAGGACCTGGGATCTATGTAACACCTAGTATCCTTCATCCGCTGGGTTAACGCAAAGGCAACAATGAGAATTACAACGAAAAAATAGGCAAACAAGTGACTAGAAATGATGATAACTCTCCCTGATTTGAAAGTTGTGTTGAGCATGGCCGGGATCCCACTGGTCCCTCCCTGGTTTAGTGAAAGACGTCCATGAATGGAAAGTAGGCCTGCTCCGGCTCGAGGAGATCGACGAGGAAGCAAACGGTGCCGGCCACGCCCTCGTACAAGCTATGCGGACGATCCGGTGTCCTGGCGCGAAGCTTGAACTCGGAATTGGTAAGCAGCTCCATGAACTTGTGCGCCCTGTACAGGTACCTCATCTCGTTGGTCAGGCGGAACAGCAGTAGGAAGACATAGCCATTGCCGGCCACGCCATGGCAGATGCCTGGTCCCTTGCGCAGAAAGCCCTTCTTCCAAACCATATCCGCACAGCGACGCAGCGAGGCCAAGTACTTATCCTCCTTGAAGATCAGATAGGCCTTGGCCAGCACATAGACGGCGCCGGGTGCCCCATGGCACCAGTGCACCAGACGCTTGTCCCTGCCGGATCGCAGATCCTCCAGAGCCACCGGAAAGTTGCCGTCGCTGTCCTGCAGCTCCAGGAAGAAGTCAATCGAGCGCTTGATGTCACGCAGCTCGGCGGCCGGCGCCGAAATGGGTAGCGTGCGGAACCACGGGCTGTCCAACAGCATGTGCAGAATGGCGCACAGCCCATGGGCTGCACCCAGGTACTCCGTGCCATGGTACTGGTACATCAGTGGACACGGCGAGTTGTTCTGCTTGCTGTACTCGCGGCCGCTGGTCACGATTAGTTGGCAAATGGATACCAGGTCATCGTCGGTGATCTTCTTCTCCGGCAGCACATCGTTCAGCCAATAGCAGCCGGATAAAAAGCCAGCACGGCCCACCAGCACCTCGTCGCAGCCGTATTTGGTGTGCATAAACTCCTTGCTAGGCGGAATGCCCGACTTGAAGTTGGCCAAGTCCTCGGACAGCTCCTCGGTATCCTTGAGCTCCTGCGAAATGGCTGCAGAGACGGCATAGATCCCAGCATTGCCGCACAGGAAGGAGAAGCGCTCGGCGGAGCGCTTCTTGTACCGCTTGGCATTCACTTTGGCATTGCGGATGAACGACGCCGCGTGATCCAGTGCCGGATAGAGATCGCGTGTCTGCTCGCAGCTGTTGAGCTTCCAGAACATGAAGGCTATGCCGGCATTGCCCACGTACAGATCACCACGAGTGTCCTCCTCTTCGTTGTTAGGATGACAGTGCTCCAGTATGGCGTCTACATAGGTGCAGATCAGGTTCTTGATGTGCTCCTCGTCGCTGGCGAAAGGTGTATTCTCCCCGCCCGCAAAATCGGCAAAGGGATTCTTCAGGTAGCGGCGTTCCATGGCAAACTCCTGGCCAGGATCGGTGGTCAGTTGGCCTGTCTGCTTGGCGTCCTCTTCGACTGCACTTGCAATGGCACCAGCTGAAATCGGGCATGTGGTATGTGGTGAGTGCAAGTAAAGAAATCGATTTGCCGGCTTTAAGGGCGCGGCCGGGCGTCTGGCAGCCACCACCTCCTCCTCCTTCGGCGGCTGCCATGCCCACAGCTACACTCACCTGGCGCAGGTTGGAACGGCAGTCGTGACTTCGTCGAGCACCTTCTGCCTATGGGACGCAGCTGCGGATTAGCCAATATATATAAAATATATTCAGTATTTGGTTAACTTTTGCTATATTTTTACCGAGATACGAGACGTGTGTTTGCAGGGTCGAGAATGTTTGTCAAGTGTCTATGAAGTGGGAAGCCGGTGTGGCATTTTTTATCACAGCCACCTAAAATCGGAAAACTTGGCGCTTCTCCGGTTGAACTTGTTTCCAGCTGTCGAACGGCTCGACTCGAAATATTTAAACAATTCCTGGCATGAATGCTCAGGTCCTGTCGAAAAAAGCTGAAAGAAACATCGATTCAATATCGATAGGCCGCTCTAGCCCAACTTTATATTTTCTTTTATTAAAAATAGGAAAAAATGGAGCTTGTGTAAGATTAGGAAAAATGTGCTACGACATAATTATTTAACTAATTGGGTAATACAGCAACTGCTCAGTAACCAATGTACCCAAGTTATCGATAACAACGATTGCAGATATCGGTTATATGCTACCGACTAAAATCGCTACAGCTTAAAATTTAATAACATTTTAATTTGACCTTAAAAACAGGCATTAAAACATTAAAAAAGGATCGTATAGAAGTTATAGATTTATTGGAACAAAATATTATTAATTTCTTCCAATGAAAGTTCTGACTATAGCACCCTAATTGTAATTAACCAATCTTAAACGAAATTTGCTGCAAAACACAAGGTGGTGCATTTTGCTTTTTAGCTCAATAGTTTTATTCTAATAACAGTATAAATATATATTATCCTTCCATCACATGTTTGTCTTCAGTGCTCACTTCCTGCGCTGACCACCACTCAGAATGGTGACGATGCGGATGAATATGTTCAACACATCCATGTAGATCGACATTGAGCTAAAAGATAGATAAATACATACACATTGAATATAGTTTCCGCATGGCATGGATGAGGAGTAAACTCACGCGTTGATAGGATCGTAGGGAGCGTAGCTGTACTGGGGATAGACTTCAGCGCGGCGCACCATGCGCTGGGTGTCGTAGAGCAGGAAGCCACTGAAGAGGACCAGGCCGCCGTACAAGGACATGGAAGCCAGACCTACGAAAAGTAAGTTTAGCGGGTTAGCTTTGCTTGAGAATTCATACAATAATTGACTGCATCCACTTTATGATTGTTTAAGACTAAAAGTGGTGGTAGCCCAAGGGAACATGCTGGAAACTCACCTGCGCCCAGTGCCGTGGTGGGCGGCAGCCACATGGAGGCCAGCGAGGAGGCGAAGACCACGCCCAAGCCAATGGCCAGTGGACCACCCATGTAGAGGAACTTATCGCTGGGTGCACACGCGGCGATCGTGGACAAGCCACCAACAATTCCGCCCGTGTAGAGAGCGGCGCGCGTTAGAATCGGTCCACCCATGAAGCAAATGGGAGCGATCACGGCGCCCAGAATGGCGCAATGCACCGCCCAGGCCAGGTGCTTGGCTCCCAGACCCGGCTGGTACTCAATGGAGCGGGCCACTGCTCCGCTACCGATGACCAGAGCCAGCGAAGCAATGGTCGCCTAAGCGATTGTAGGGAAATGGAAGGTAGTGTTATGTTCTGTTGTATCTGATTGGGCAGGTACGCAACAACTGCAGATTGTGCAGAAGAACTCACCAAGATGCCGCCCTGAGAGGCCAGAGTCAGGAGACGGTGCGAGCGGAAGGTGGCTGCTGCTGCGGCCGCGGTGATAACGCAAGAGCCACCAAAAAAGGCATAGGTGCTCTGGATACGATCCCTCACAAATTGGGGCCACATGCTGAATAAAATAGGTATAATCTCAGTATTTCGCAAGGTAGAGGCTCATGGTATCATCCCGAACCCATGAGGAAATAGACGGTGCCGTTTGGCTTTGCATATCGATCCCCCACTCACATGGCGTTATCCGCGATGCTGGTTTGCTTTCCCAATCCCACGCCGTAGTAGCACAGGGCGCCCAATCCCACGGCGGCGGCTCCGGCGGCAGCGCCCTTGCCCATGGAGTAGGCTGCAGGCAAGGAGAGGACAGTTATACCACCGATGTATATGGGATTACACAAGAGCCTTACCATTGGCACTAGGCGGACCCATCAGCTTCTCCTTGAGCGAGGGAGCACGCACCTGTTCCACAGGAGCGCGGGGGCGAACTGATCCACGGGCGTAGCTGCGCACCGCGGACAGATTGAGACTGGAACTGCCATTGGCGCGGAACAGCTGGGCCGGAGACTGGACCAGGAGTTTGATATTCCCGGCTGGACGGGCGGCGGAAAGTGCTAGACGCAGCAACATTGTGTTGTTGTGGTGAAATTCGGATGGAGTGCAATTGGTTCTCCTTCGGCAAGAGCTATTGGATTCGGATTTCTATGTAAGGCGCTAGCTTTTTCTCCAACTGAATTTGATTGCTTGCTGCGGTTTTATATATTATTGATTCGAGAAATAGTTGAATATTTTACTGTCTTTTGGCTTTGATGTCGAAAACTGGTACAATCGTTATTGTTCGATGTCTAGATAGTTGATAGGTCCGTGCATATCGCAGAACGCCGAAAGTACCCCTAATATCGATATTATAGCTAATTCAAAGATTGGAAGTATCGAGAAAGTGGAATAAAAATATGAATTAAGGATCCCGGAGCAATGAATATATAAAATTAAACTGGAAAACAATTACTGGAGATAATTTATTTGATAAGCTTAAGTAATGTTATCGATTTGACGTGTCGATAGGGCGCCAAGTTTGAATAACGTGCACAGTGGAAAAAATTACATTTCACCAGACACAATTTTAATAGGTATGCAATTTCGAAAGTTATTTAACATATTATTTCATTTTATATCTACACTTTAGAGCTGCACTATGGACTAACTAACCCTAAGATCAGAATACCAGGTAATTGCTCAGACCTGATACTTCCTCGCCGGCGCCGTGGGAATTTCGCCACGAGGGCGTGGCCGCCTTTCGAACATTATCATCTCAGTGAGGTGGGAAGATCGCAGGGTTCCATAGTGATCGTACGTGTTGGTCTGCTCCAGAGTTCCCCCAGAGTTGGACTTGTAGCTCTTGCACTCGTACAGTGGGCAGCATCGGGGATACTCGGCACCCACATTCGTCGACGGAATAGGCTTGCAATCGCCTTGCGTTAGTTTCGGCACCTGGCAGCTGGATCATGGATGAGAAATACTTTTCACCTGATAGGACATACTACAGCTGTGCGCTTACCTATCCTCCCAGAGTTGCTGCGACTCCAGGCACTGAATCCGGACGCACTGATCCTCTCGAGTAAAGACTTCACCTATATAAAGCTGGCGACCCGTCAATGTGTCCATGCAGAACTGCTGATTGTACAGATACGCTGCAGTTACAAGTTAAACAGGAAAATCAACGTATATTACAGAAAAATATATGTATTAATCGGTAAAATCGTACATCCATAGGGTATCGCTTGGCTTCCCCCGATGATCAATGCCATCATGGGAACTATATAAATCACGAAGTTAATTAACTCCATTTGGACGAAGTTCCTTTTTGAAACAATTCAGATCGGCAGACAGAATTGGCCCGACGTTTGCAAAGTTTAGCGCACAACTGAAGTCCGCACGGCTAATCTTCCTTCATTTTTCTATTAAAACATCTAGAGTACAGTGTTTATTTGTATGGAATCACACACTTACGACATTTGCGCGCTTTCTCTACAATAAATTTAACAAATTTTTTACTCGAATCCGCTGAATGTTTATGCGTACAGGCCCGCCAACAGTGCGTTTCATAGGTGTTTAAACATATGTTTATAATATTAAAATAGATTTCAAAACCGTTCAAAAATTCCTTTGCCCTGCTAAAAATAGATAAAATCATACAAATTTAGCTGTATTTTCGGTTGATGAGCAACTTTTACAACTCCAGAGAAGTACACCTTATAAAGTCATTACTTTTCCGTTTAGTAAATGCAGTGAATTTCTGAAAATTATTTGCTTGACTTGACAGTTGCGAAACGAACCTTACGATGTTGTGCTTATCGCCTTACAGAAATAAGAGGAAGAAGAAGTAAAGCGATTTATAGCAATATGCAAAAAGGAACAAATATCGATCCATATTCTGTGTATATATGTATGTATGTACGAATGTCCGTCTGACCGGTCTAATCAGCATATTTATATTTACCTATATTCGCATGCATTCATAAACATACAACATACTCTCATTGGTATAAATAAATCGGTTTACATTTTTATACGAGTATTCTTGATGTCACTAAAAGATCAAAAAAAAATATGAAATACTGATATAACGTGGAGATCTCATAAAAATTGGATTGAACAGAACTATCCTAATAATAGTTTACTTTCGATGAAGAAAAGGCTGCACTTATTCTCTTGACCGTTGCTGTAAAAATTGTATAAACAGACGCTGGCTCTTTAAATTTGAGATTGAAAGAGTTGTATATGTTTTGATATTTTGGTTCGCGCCGGGCGCGATCATCACGATCATCACGATCATCCAATGCCATTAAGTCCATTATGCAGACAGTCGGGCACTGGGGCATCGATGGGGGTGAATCATCCAAAACAGTTCCCAAACGTGAAAATCTGAAAAAACCGAAAGAACTGAAACATCAATGAATAAACTAAACTGTAAAGGTACATGTATTTTTATGCAAGACTTTTTTGAATTGCTTCAAAATTTCATTACAGTTTCATCACATACTGAAAAGAGTTTGGATAAACAATTTATAATTTATACAAAAGGTGAATTTGCTTTTGTCACGTGACAGTCTGTGTGATAACTAGGCGAATTCATTGAGAATCGCTGGGGATGATAAGCCCCATCTTTCCTCAAGTGTGTAATCAGTGAGTCGTCTAATCAATTCCAGAATATTTCAAGCGATTAGTGTGAATTCGATGACCCAACCGATGATCCCAAGTGGGAGATTGGATTTCCACTGATAATTCCGCCCAAGAAATGTGCGCACGAGTGCAGTTTGGATGTCTGCGGCACATCCTTTCCGGTGGCCGAAAATCCATGAGCGAAAAGGATACTTGACTTGATGGCGGAACCGGAAACGGAAGCTGTCACGAAATCCTTTCACTCGCTGCTCAACTTTTCATCCAGCAGCGTCACTTGAATGAGTCATTATGTGTGTCCACAAAATTGCCTACTCTTGTGTGCTTCAAGTGCTCGGAAAATGCTTTAATATACGCGTATTGCATATTTCTTGGCCTACGAGGATTAGATTCTACAGAGCAATAAAATACCTAAACGTTTGGGTAAACATATAAATATTGCTAGAGCATGGAATAAATTGCCATGCCTTTTCCCAAGTTATTGGCTTCTCGAAGAAATTCTCAGCTTAAGAGCATAGAATATCAAATATTCAAGAGTTTAAAAACTATTGCTGCAAGAATTATATTTTATAGACCTCTATGAGTTTCTGCACCTCGTTTACTTGTCATATAAATACATTTTCATCCCCATTGATGGCTTTATTTTCTGATGGGCTTATGTGGGCTTGTCCCGATTGAATTCAATTATTTTTGAGCGTTTACTGCTGCATGTGATCAATTAGCTTTAATAATCAATTTAGGAGTACTGTTAATGTTTAGTTAAATGTGCGCAGAGTGAGTAAGCTAAACGATTTAAACTCATTTTCTGCTACGTTTGTTTATTGACGGTGAAGCAGGTTGATTTGCTCTATTCAGGTGGCGTTATTGTTATCAGTAAATTGAGTTGTATTTACTCGAGTTTCAATCACTTTTGTAGGCCATCATAAGGTATATAGGTACTCGTTCAATTTTTCCCACTCATGGATTTAATATTAGTCAGCCTTTCAGTTAATAAGTCTTAACCAGCAAACAGTATTATAATAAATACATATGTATTGTACCAAACTTTAGCATGTAGAGATGTTAAGTCCCAAATTTATTAAACACCAAAATCGTATCATAAAATCATATGTTAAAAATGATTATAATTTGCGAGACATACATATATTGTTTACTTAAGATGGAAAATATGATCTATAATCTATATCTCAGCCAATAAATACTTTTTAGGGTATCTGGCGGCCTACTCACGCGACCAACCCAGTGAGTTGCCTTGAGCTCTGACCCTTGATATCCAGCTTAGGGGTTGCCCTGCCAGTGACGTGGTCTTTGCTGCGTCACCCAAAAAGAAGATCGATGGCTTTTCGGATCGGTTCGGATCGGTTCGGTTCGGTTCGGTAAGTTTGCGGTGCGGTTCCTCGATCATCGTTCATCGTTCATCGTATCGTATGGTATCGTAGCGCATCGTATCGTTCCAGCGCCGTGCTCAAGTTCTCGAGCTGGGGGTTGGACTTGGACTTGGAGCTTGGGGCTTGGTTAAAAAGCCGCCGCTCGCCGGCAAATCAGTTCTGCTGCGATCGCGCCACTGCGCACTACGCAACGCTTGGGGAATCCAGATATCTGCGACAATTCGGCGAGTGAGTTGCGCTCTGTGTGTGTACATGAATTTTGGCTCTTTTAATGCCCTTTTTTTTCCCGTGCACTGGCTGTTCCTGTGTGTGTGCGTGTGTGTGCTGTGTGTGCTGTGTGTGGAGTAGCGTTTCAGTTGGGGCCGCAACTGCAACAATAAAATGCAATTAAGCCGCTCAAATCAACAATAAATTGAATTAAAGCGCGTCAACAGCGCTTAACAACTTCAACAGCAATGAGTCCATCAGTTCTGACTTTCTGATTGTTCAAATATATATGCACGAAATACGGGTATATATGTATATACACATACCTTTGACTAATTAATACAAAACGCTGGCCGGCATTTGCATAATATTCTCGGAATAACTTTAATGCAATTAATCCGCTGTGATCTTTCGTGTTTTCACTATTTCGCGCGGTTTATTCAATTTGAATTTCAATTTATTTTCGATTTTTTGCTTTTGCTTTTATATACATACGTGTATGTGTGTATTTCCTTGGTCTAGTCTGTTCATCGAGCGATTTAATTAACATTTTCTGTGCTGCTGTGCTGTTGTTGTTGCTGGTAAATATGAAATGAAAGTGCAATTAACTATTATATACATACGAGTATATCTATGCTTTTGTTTTTGCGCCACGCTGAACTTGCGGGCAAAGGGATTTCCGTTTTTGAAAGAGAGACTCCGTCCGTCGAATGTGTTTGCATCTTGATGAGGATAAATTTATTACGGCCACTCCAGCCCGCCCACTATTGTTGTTGTTCTTGCTGTGGGGGCGTGACTTATTGGCCATGCATTACGCCATGTTAATTGAAACTTGTCGCTTGGCTAGCTGATTATGCAGACGCCATATTAATTGGACCGTGGACCATGGACCACGGACCACGGAGCATCCATGTCCTCTGGACGCAGGCCGGCAGCTCGGATGAGTTGGGTGGTGGAGCTGGCCAAACCTGTTATGGAGATCATCAGGATTTTGGCTAATCGATTGGGGCTTAGATTGTGTGTTTACCCGGTTTATCTTGCCGGCAATGTTCGTTGAACCCTTGAGCTGCATCTGAAATAAGTAAATGCGTTGTATCTCAGCTTTTGGGCCAGCTTCCCCCGAAGTTGCTACTTATTCGAATGAATAATCGCCAAATTTTATTGGTATTACTATGTTTGCATTTTATACTATTGTGGTAGCTTTTGATTTGCCACACATGTAAATTGTTTATGCTTGCTACAATGCACTGAGTAACAATCCAAACATTTCATGGTAATTGGGGGTTTGACAAAAATGGCAGTGAAATTGCATTTGCTAGCACAGAATTGGCGCATTGTAAATACAGTGATTGAGTTTCCATTAATTAGATATACATGGCTTAATGATATACTGCAAATATTCAGTAGCACTTTTCTGCCTTCAAATGGAGACTGCGATGACTTGAAATACAACTATGAAGTCGTATGGCTTAATGGATAAGATATTTGAAAAAACAATAAATTATAAAAAAGGGAATTTTTATACATGTGCATGTATTTATGCATTGAGTATTCAGTAAAGGGTATCCCCAAAATATGATTTGCGTTTCATTTAAGTAACTGCCTCGTTTTCTGCTTCTCGAATTTGCATAACATGGAAATTAGCTTGTGTACTTTAAATTACCAATTGAATTGCTTTCTGACTCTGTTATTTGAAATCTAATTTTTATTTGTGCGTGCTCCATTGCCCTGTGTATCTATTTTTTCCGTTGTTGCTCCAGCTCTGTGTGTTTCAGTTTCGCTTTCAGTCAAATGCGGCACTAAAATGTAAATTCAACAAAAAAGTAAAGAAAACTAACGCTAATCGAGTGAAGTAAGAGTCCAACACAAGAAATCGCGAACCCGGGTTGAAGATCGAGCGCTTCGATGACTATGTTTTGGCACCAAAATGTAGACCACCAGTCGGAACAGCAGGACAAACAGCCGAAGAGTTCGGCTCCCACGAAGAGATTGAACATCAGCTTCAATGTGAAGATTGCGGTGAATGTGAACACCAAGATGACGACCACCCACATCAACCAGCAGGCCTCCAACTCCTGCAGCTCACCGAATGGCTCACCCAGCAAGATTGTGGTACGCCAGCAGAGCAGGTGGTTCGATCTCCGCCAGCAACTGGCCCGTCTGGGCCGCCAGCTGGCCAGCGGTCAGGATGGCCACGGCGGCATATCCACCATTCTGATCGTCAATCTACTCCTGCTCATCCTGCTCTCGATCTGCTGCGATGTCTGCCGATCCCACAACTACACGGTGCACCAGAGTCCGGAGCCCGTCTCAAAGGACCAAATGCGTCTGCTGCGTCCCAAGCTGGACAGCGATGTGGTCGAGAAGGTGGCCATCTGGCACAAGCACGCCGCCGCAGCTCCGCCGAGTATTGTGGCGGGCATCGCCATAAGCAGCAGGCCACAGGCGGCGTTGGCCCATGCTCCAGAGGATCGGGATCGGGATCGGGTTCGGAATCCGCCGGAGGAGCCGCACGGTGGCGACGAGCGCATGGTCTTGGAACGCGTGACAAGGGATTGTGTGCAGCGATGCATTGTTGAGGTGAGTGCTATTTATTCTTCCGACTTAGATACATTTTGCTTAGCAATACAATGACCATTTCGTGATGGTGTCAAACTAGCTGGAGAAAAATTGAAAGAGCTGCACAAAAAATGCATAATACATGTATTTCCTCAGGGCTGTGCAACATCCATCAACCATCAACCGTCGCACACAAAAAACAAAAGAAAACATTCGGGTGCGAAATGTATATTTCTAGTTTTGCATATGTCAACGATATAATCAAAAAACAATCCGAACAAGTGCAACACGAGTTTGCACCACATCACGTAGACCAGTTAAACACACTTATTTCTTCTTTTTTGGTTTCCCAGACCTTTTTTCTGGCTGCCCAATTCAGTTGAATGCATTTTCCGACCATTCCAGTGGCCATTAACCGCTCACTCGCACTCGGCTAATTAAATGATATGTATAATTGAAGATCGTCCAGCCAAGTCGGTGATTATGCTCGCACATACCCGTACGAATGTGGGCTGAATGAAGTGGCATTCCAATTTGCCGGGCAGGCCAAAGAGAGCAGATCGGGATTAGAATCTTCCTCATTAATTGGGGTACCTACTCGGCTTTATTGCCATTTGCATACTGAGTGGGTGTGTTTTATCTGGCTTTTGTGACATATGTTTGTGCAGAAATTCATGTTTGCGCCCAAACTGTTTTTCCCACTCTATATTTCACTCACAATATTTCGCATTCATTCCCCACTAATTAATTAGGCAATCGATTGACTTGTTTTATTTGATACACTCTGTTTATGCTTTAATTGCGGCTAAGCGAGTGCAGAGTTTTTGTAATGTGAGCTGTGAAATACGTCAAAGGGACGATGCAAAGTGAGCCTCTAATTAATTAAAAAATAAAATATACATAAAGGGATTGTCGATATGGCGTGCCTTCAAAGCTTTGGAAACTGCAAAGCATATTGGCTTTCCATTACAACATTTCACATTTCAACCTTAAAATCGCTGAAACTAATAATTATTAAGATAAATATCTACGAAATCGAATCATGAATAGTTCGTGCTCAAGACCAATATTAATTAATATTTCTTAAGGAAGTAATCAATCCAAGTTCCCCAGTATTTTCCCCAACAATGCAATTTATTTGCCAAAATGCTCAAGTGCATGTATGTATATACATTTCTGCGTTAGCTATTTATATACATATACACATCTTTCGCAGTGCAAATTTGTGGACAGTAATTACTATATTATCGCAGAGTGTGAAATAGGAGTAAGCTGCATGTAAATCACTGACTTGGCGTGCCCTTCATTCATTAGGAAAGCGCAAATTCAGTAATCGACTCCAGTTACACCAGGCTCCATTTCCCCAATTAAATTTAATGGCATCTGAGCGCCATCTGGCGTTGAGAATACGAGCCCATTGATGTGCACTAGGAATCCCTAGTTGCTCATACATATTATATATCATATTCGATAATAGACCGACTCGTAAAATTGAACTCACTTTTGGGTAAACAATTTATACATGTAATGTGTGTGCTCTAATTATTTATTTCAGCACTCATTAGGCAAAATTCCCATTTTAATCCAGCTACAGATTACATTCGAGCTCTTCCTCTGACTTTTTAATCGCTCCAGCTGCTGATTTATCCCTAGAATAAACTAGACCAAACCTCGATTTTCAACCAGTAACTGGATTTCGCATAACCCAGAAAGGCGAGGGAACAAAAGAAATTTTATTAAGATGTTTTGCCTTGTTGGAATCGAGAGTGAGCAAAATGTTTAGTCAATTTAAGTGTACGGCTACGTGTAGGTAGAGCTATAACTGCGGTGCAGTTACTAGGAGCGCTGTTGAAAAAATGAATATTTTAGCAAGAACTTCAACTGTACAAATGAGCAGTTGAATAAAGTTGGATAGCTTTTTAAAAGACTGAGGGCAGCATCCAGGCAATAAATGCGATACTCAGTTTTAATGTTCCCACTCGCTTGCATACTCGTATGTTATTGAAGTGCTATAATCTTGGCCGATGCTGTGTGTTCGCGAGCACACAAGTGTGTTTTCTTTGGCTCGCTTTTCCAGAGCCTGACGGCAGCAACAACAATGGGGCAATAATGGTGTCAATAACACACCAGCCCCGTCTGGCGGCCTTCCCTGCGGCCCCGCCCCCTTTCTAATGTGTCTCTGTGTGGGTGTGTGCCAGTGTGTGTGTGTGTGCGAGTGTGTGTGTGTGCGTGTGGGTCGGTTTCCGAGTTAATGTAATAGAAATTGTACAACAAAAGATGAGCAATGACGACATGAAACCCCCCAATGCCAATTAGTCTCAGGCCCCAGGCTCAATATTTCGCCTTCTTCTCCAGCTTCGTGGGGCTTTTTCCTCATTTTTCTGCTTTGCGACGGGCGGAGCTCGCTCTTTGGCTGTGAAGAGCTATTTCTGTTTGTGAAAAAGCCAATCAAGCTAAATTAATAAAATATTACGTAGAACTCTAAATTAAATTGACGCGTGTGCGAGTCCAAAAAAAAAAAAGAGTGGAAAGTGTAAGCACCAGAAGAGCACACACACTTTTGGGGAAATCCGAATCCGCGACGGGAAATCCCACTGGTAATTACTTGTCCATTTAGCAAGCCAAGCAACACAATTAACAAAGTTGGCCACTTTAAGGAGTTGCCAAATGGCGCAAGGGGCAAACTTAAAGTGTGCCAAATTGGATTTTAAGTACTGACTTTCGAGGAGCTCAAAGGAGAGATACAAACTGAAGTGGAGATTTGATTTAAGCCATGTGAAGCTTAAGGAAATGTTTAATGACCCATTGGAGTGCCCTCAAATCGATGTTGAACTTCAAGACTTACTCGGAAAGGTAGTTAATTCAGTTAATAACATTTATACGTCATTTTTTAATAGCTGGCGATTGGGTTTGCTTCGCATTTAAGCCATAGGCATCGAGTTTGGCATGGATGACCCCGTTTTAAGCCGCTATGTCTAGCCCTTGGTGGCTCAAAGCCTCGTCTATGCAAATGGAATTTAAGCTGGGTAGATCTTCATGGCTCACGTGGCCAAACAAGTTTCTAGCAAATTTATGCAGCATCAAGTCTCATTTCAATTTCAATGCAAAAATAAAAGAAGGAATACATTATGTGTGTGTAAATAAAGCGAACCTAATCGAGAGTGTTCATTTCATTCATTCCCTGCTCCCCAATGATAATTGATCGAAATAATTGAACCATCGGCATTGGCCCAGAAATCGCGTTTATATTGCCACTGCTATTGTTTAATGGATGATATACGAGTATATGTGGTCACTTCAGCTTTTTCCCATACAAACTTACCGCAACTTCCGTTCCCAAGTGACCGAAAATCAAAAAAAACCACAAAAAATGCAAAAAACGACGCATAAAATGCTAATTGCTTTCACATTTTCATTGCAATCATTTCCCCTTTTCCAGGAGGATCTGTTTCTGGACGAGTTTGGAATACACTGCGAGAAGGCGGACAATGGCGAGAAGTGCTACAAAACACGAGTAAGTCGCAGACTTGGGGGAGCCGAGATTGAAATGGGATAGGGTCAAAAGTCGGGTAACCCGACACCCTCATTCGCGCTCTGGGTTAACCACTCCAGTTACCAGATCAATTGGACAGTGATCCTCTGCCTATCCAAGCAGCCGAGGAAGCCATCGAAGCGGATCCTGATGAGCACCCTCTTGGTTGTGTTCGGTCTGCACTTGGGTGCCTCTCCCATTCCCCCTGTGGGGTTAAGCTTACACATGAGCATCAATGGGTGCCTTAAGCTGTGAAATGCCACATCTAACCTTCAATCCTCTTTCTTGCAGTGCACCAAGGGCTGTGCCCAGTGGTATCGCGCCCTCAAGGAGCTGGAGTCCTGCCAGGAGGCCTGCGTAAGTGGCAGCCCTTCTCACCCATCATCCCACCCAGATCCCCATCCCAGTGCCGCACCCACCAGTGCTTCCCAGACCCAGACCCATATCCACATCCAGTCTGACCCCGTTCGTTGTTGTTTCCGCTTTGGCCCGCCCGCAGCTGTCTCTCCAGTTTTACCCGCACGACATGCCCTGCATCGGCGCTTGCGAAATGGCCCAGCGGGACTACTGGCACCTCCAGCGGCTGGCCATCAGCCACCTGGTGGAGCGGACGCAGCCGCAGCTGGAGCGAGCGCCGCGGGCGGACGGACAGGCCACGCCACTCACCATTCGCTGGGCGATGCACTTTCCGGAGCACTACCTGGCCAGCAGACCCTTCAACATTCAGTACCAGTATGTGGATCACCACGGCGATGAGCTGGTTGCCGAGCCGGAAGACCGGGATGCATCTGGAGCGGCGGGTTCCAGTGCCTGGTTCAACTTGGCGAATTACGACTGTGACGAGTATTATGTGTGCGAGATACTGGAGGCCCTGATACCCTACACTCAATACAGGGTAAGTCGTAGGTGTTAATGTTTTAATTTGTAACATATATATTTTATACATATTTTTGTACATTAAATACATATTTAGTATTTTTTGCTTACGTATAGTTCCGTTTTGAGTTGCCCTTCGGCGAGAACAGGGACGAAGTGCTGTACTCCCCGGCCACGCCCGCCTACCAAACGCCCCCCGAGGGCGCGCCCATCTCGGCTCCGGTCGTGGAGCACCTGTTGGGTCTGGACCAGAGCCACGTGGCTGTCCACTGGCATCCCGGCCGCTTCACCAATGGACCCATCGAGGGCTACCGCCTGCGCTTGAGCTCCTCCGAGGGAAACGGCACCACTGAACAGGTGAAATAGTCATCCAGTCAGAGTATGTTATCTATATCTTCCACACTTTCAGCTCGTTCCGGCTGGACGAGGTAGCTACATCTTCGCCCAGCTGCTGGCCGGCACCAACTATACCCTGGAACTGAGCATGATCAACAAACAGGGTGAGGGTCCGTTGGCCAAGGGACTAGTGCAGACTCACTCCTCCCCAAGTGATAAGCCTGTCAAGGATCTAACAGAGAGTGTCCTGCTCGCCGGACGAAGGGCAGTGATGTGGCAATCGCTGGAACCGGCCGGCGAAAATTCCATGATCTATCAGTCTCAGGAGGAGCTGGCGGATGTCGCCTGGTCCAAGCGGGAGCAACAACTGTGGCTGCTCAACGTCCATGGCGAGTTGCGCAGGTGAGAAGGATTAGATGTGCATCTATACTTCCATATATTATAAAGCTTAATCCGACTAAACCCGTGCAGCTTAAAATTTGAAGCCGGCCAGATGGTGAGTCCCGCCCAGCAGCTGAAGCTGGATCTGGGTAACATTTCCAGCGGAAGGCTGGTTCCACGCCGATTGAGCCTTGACTGGCTGCATCATCGACTGTACTTCGCCATGGAGTCGCTAGACCGCAACCAAACCAGCTTCCAGATCATCAGCACGGATTTGCTGGGTGCATCAGCGCAGAAAGTGGGCGAGTCTTTCGATCTGCCCGTTGAGCAGCTGGAAGTGGATGCCTTGAATGGGTGGGTCTTCTGGCGAAACGAGGAGTCGCTGTGGCGCCAGGATCTAAATGGTCGAATGAGCCATCGGCTGGTGAGAATCAGGCAGCCGGGCTGGTTCGTTGTGCAGCCGCAACACTTCCTCATCCGAATGATGCTGCCGCAGGAGGGCAAATTCCTGGAGATTAGCTACGATGGCGGATTCAAGCATCCACTGCCACTACCAGCTGGAGCTGCCTCCAACCATTGGCAAAGCTTTGCCCTGCTTGGTCGCTCGCTGCTCCTGCCCGATGCTGGTCAGCTGATCCTGGTCGAGCAGCAGGCTCAGGGAGCCAGTCCCAGTGCCTCCTGGCCACTAAAGAACTTGCCCGACTGCTGGGCCGTGATTCTTCTTGTGCCGGAAAGCCAGCCACTGACCAGCGCTGGAGGAAAACCGTACGGCTTGAAGGCCTTGCTGGGAGCCCAGGCGGCGAAGATCTCGTGGAGGGAGCCGGAACGCAATCCCTACCAGTCGGCGGACGCAGCACGCGGTTGGAGCTACGAACTGGAGGTGCTGGACGTGGCCAGCCAAAGTGCCTTTAGCATACGCAATATACGCGGACCCTTCTTTGGCCTGCAGCGTCTGCAGCCGGATAATCTGTACCAACTGCGAGTGAGGACAATAAATGTGGATGGAGAGCCGGGCGAGTGGACTGAGCCGCTGGCAGCCCGCACCTGGCCGCTGGGTCCACATCGGTTGAGGTGGACCAGCCGGCAGGGAAGTGTCCTTCATACCGACGAGCTGGGCGAGGGCTTGCAAGTGCAGCAGGAGCAGTTGGAGCGCCTAGCCGGACCCTTGACTATGGTGAATGACAGCGTGGGCTACTACGTCACGGGCGAGGGTCTGCTGCACTGCATCAATCTGGTGCACAGCCAGTGGGGATGCCCCATCTCGGAGCCACTGCAGCACGTGGGTTCGGTGACCTACGACTGGCGGGGCGGTAGAGTTTACTGGACGGATCTGGCCAGGAATTGCGTGGTGCGCATGGATCCATGGTCGGGCAGCCGGGAATTGTTGCCCATCTTTGAGGCAAACTTCCTGGCACTGGACTCTCGTCAGGGTCACCTGTACTACACCACCAGCTCCCAGCTCTGCCGACATGGCTCCACTCCCGATGAAGCGGTCACCTATTATCGTGTTAATGGACTGGAGGGCAGCATCGCCTCCTTTGTGCTGGACACCCAGCAGGATCAGCTTTACTGGCTTGTAAAGGGTGCGGGTGCACTGCGTCTGTATCGTGCGCCCCTGACAGCTGGTGGGGATGCGCTGCAGATGATCCACCAGATAAAAGGTGGCTTCCAGGCTGTCCCGGACAGCTTGCAACTCCTGCGGCCTTTGGGCGCTCTTCTTTGGCTGGAGCGGAGTGGCAGAAGAGCTCGCTTGGTCCGCCTGGCTGCACCTCAGGATGTCATGGAGCTACCGACTCCGGATCAGGCCTCTCCCGCCTCCGCTTTGCAGTTACTAGAGCCACAACCATTGCTCCCGCCGGATGAGGGCGTTATTCCCATGACTGTGATCCCGGATAGCGTGCGTCTGGACGATGGCCACTGGGACGACTTCCATGTGCGCTGGCAGCCTTCCACGTCCGGTGGCAACCACAGCGTCTCGTATCGCCTGCTTCTCGAGTTCGGACAACGACTTCAAACCTTGGATTTGAGCACGCCATTTGCCCGGTTGACCCAATTGCCGCAGGCACAGTTGCAGCTGAAGATCAGCATCACACCGCGAACCGCGTGGCGAAGCGGAGACACCACTCGGGTGCAGCTCACCACCCCGCCGGTGGCTCCTAGTCAGCCTCGTCGGCTGCGCGTGTTCGTTGAGCGCTTGTCCACCGCCCTCCAGGAGGCCAATGTGAGTGCTGTGCTCCGCTGGGATGCGCCGGAACAGGGTCAGGAGGCGCCGATGCAGGCGCTGGAGTACCACATTAGCTGCTGGCTGGGCTCGGAGCTGCACGAGGAGCTGCGTCTGAACCAGAGCGCCCTGGAGGCCCGCGTGGAGCATCTGCAGCCGGATCAGACTTACCACTTTCAGGTGGAGGCACGTGTGGCTGCCACGGGCGCAGCAGCGGGAGCAGCTAGCCATGCCCTCCACGTGGCACCGGAGGTGCAGGCGGTACCACGCCTGCTCTACGCCAATGCGGAGTTCATTGGAGAACTGGACCTGGATACGCGGAATCGCAGGAGACTGGTGCACACGGCCAGTCCGGTGGAGCATCTGGCGGGCATCGAGGGCGAGCAGCGATTGCTGTGGGTCAACGAGCACGTGGAGCTGCTCACCCATGTCCCGGGATCAGCTCCAGCGAAGCTGGCCAGGATGAGGGCCGAGGTCTTGGCCCTGGCCGTGGACTGGGTTCAGCGGATCGTCTACTGGGCGGAACTGGATGCCACTGCACCGCAGGCGGCGGTTATCTATCGCCTGGATCTGTGCAACTTCGAGGGCAAGATCCAGCAGGGCGATCGCATGTGGAGCACTCCCAGGGGCCGTTTGCTAAAGGATCTGGTGGCCTTGCCACAGGCGCAATCCCTCATTTGGTTAGAGTACGAGCAGGGAGCTCCGAGAAACGGTTCCCTTCGGGGCAGAAATCTAACCGATGGCTCGCAGCTGGAATGGGCCACGGTTCAGCCGCTAGTCCGTCTGCATGCTGGCAGCTTGGAGCCCGGATCCGAGACCTTGAACCTGGTGGACAACCAGGGCAAGCTGTGTGTCTACGATGTGGCCCGCCAGCTGTGCACGGCCAGCGCTCTGCGGGCACAGCTGAACCTGCTTGGCGAGGACTCAATTGGCGGTCAGTTGGCCCAGGACTCGGGATACCTCTATGCCGTGAAAAACTGGAGTATTCGTGCCTACGGGCGCCGCCGCCAGCAGCTGGAGTATACGGTGGAACTGGAGCCGGAGGAGGTGCGTCTGCTGCAGGCACACAACTATCAGGCCTATCCGCCCAGGAGCTGTCTGCTCCTTCCCTCGTCCGGTGGATTCTTCCTAACAGATACCGATTGTGAGGAGCAGAGATGCCAGCTGCATCTACCCATTATCAAAGCGTCCGAAGATTGTGCACTGCCTGTTCCCGGGGTTAGATACCAACTGAATCTTACTTTGGCCAAGGAGAGGGGATCCGAGGAGCAGCAGCATGAGGAGGAGCCCCTGGGACAGTGGCTGCTCAGTGCTGGGGATTCGGTAAATCTTACAGACCTGCTGCCCTTCACTCGCTATCGTGTGGCAGGAATCCTGAGCAGCTATTACCAAAAGAAGTTGGCATTACCCACCGTGGTGCTGCCCCCACTGGAGCTCCTCACCGCCTCTGCCACGCCCTCGCCTCCAAGGAACTTCAGTGTGCGTGTGCTGAGTCCCAGGGAACTGGAGGTCAGCTGGTTGCCGCCAGAGCAGCTGCGCAGCGAAAGTGTCTACTACACGCTCCACTGGCAACAGGAACTGGACGGTGAGGAGGTCCAGGATCGGCGGGAATGGGAGGCACATGAGCGGCGCCTGGAGACGGCGGGCACTCATCGTTTGACCGGAATCAAGCCGGGATCTGGGTATAGCCTGTGGGTTCAGGCCCATGCCACTCCCGCCAAGAGCAACAGCAGCGAGCGGCTGCATGTGCGCAGTTTCGCGGAGTTGCCGGAGCTGCAGCTCCTGGAGCTGGGACCATATTCTCTGAGCCTCACCTGGGCGGGAACCCCGGATCCTCTGGGCTCCCTGCAGCTCGAGTGCCGATCGTCGGGTGAGCAACTACGTCGGAATGTTGCCGGGAATCACACAAAGATGGTGGTGGAGCCACTGCAGCCACGCACCCGCTACCAGTGCTGCCTGCTCCTGGGCTATGCGGCCACGCCAGGAGCTCCACTGTACCATGGAACAGCAGAGGTGTACGAGACTCTGGGGGATGCGCCCAGTCAGCCGGGCAAGCCGCAGCTGGAGCACATCGCCGAGGAGGTGTTTCGTGTCACCTGGACGGCGGCCCGCGGCAATGGAGCACCCATCGCCCTCTACAATCTGGAGGCCCTCCAGGCGCGCAGCGACATCCGCCGGAAGCGCAGAAGAAGGCGACGCAATAGCGGTGGATCCCTGGAGCAGCTGCCGTGGGCCGAGGAGCCGGTGGTCGTCGAGGATCAGTGGCTGGACTTCTGCAACACCACCGAACTGAGCTGCATTGTGAAGAGTCTGCACTCGAACAGGTTGCTCCTCTTCCGGGTGCGTGCGAGGAGCTTGGAGCACGGCTGGGGACCTTACAGCGAGGAGAGCGAGCGGGTGGCGGAGCCCTTCGTCTCGCCGGAGAAGAGAGGATCCCTGGTCCTGGCCATCATCGCGCCGGCTGCCATCGTCTCCAGCTGCGTCCTGGCATTGGTGCTCGTTCGAAAGGGTAGGTCACAACTTTGGCTTTATAAGGGCAACACATTCTATTGATTAAACGCATTCAGTTCAAAAGCGCCGCCTGCGCGCCAAGAAACTGCTCCAGCCGAGCCGTCCCAGCATTTGGAGTAACCTGTCCACCTTGCAAACGCAACAGCAGCTGATGGCCGCCAGGAATCGCGCCTTCTCCACCACGCTGAGTGATGCGGACATCGCTCTGCTGCCCCAAATCAATTGGAGCCAACTGAAGTTGCTGCGATTTCTGGGCAGCGGAGCTTTTGGTGAGGTGTACGAGGGCCAGTTGAATACGGAGGACTCCGAGGAGCCGCAACGCGTGGCCATCAAGGTGAGTAGTGTACGCCGGCAAAGGGGCAACTATTGACTTGGCTTGATCCTCTAGAGCCTCCGCAAGGGAGCCAGCGAATTTGCCGAGCTGCTCCAGGAGGCTCAGCTGATGAGCAACTTCAAGCACGAAAACATCGTGTGCCTGGTGGGGATCTGCTTTGACACCGAGTCCATCTCGCTGATCATGGAGCACATGGAGGCGGGCGATTTGCTTAGTTACCTACGTGCCGCCAGGGCTACCAGCACCCAGGTGGGTTCCATGTTTTACAGGTAATATGATTAAGTCTACTGAAGATTATGACCTCCAGGAGCCGCAACCCACCGCTGGACTCTCGCTCTCTGAACTCCTGGCCATGTGCATTGATGTGGCCAACGGCTGCAGTTACCTGGAGGACATGCACTTCGTGCACCGCGACTTGGCCTGTCGGAACTGCTTGGTCACGGAATCGACGGGCGGCACGGATCGTCGGCGCACCGTAAAGATCGGGGACTTCGGACTGGCGAGGGACATCTACAAGAGCGACTATTACCGCAAGGAGGGCGAGGGCCTGCTCCCGGTGCGCTGGATGTCGCCGGAGAGCCTCGTCGACGGGCTCTTCACCACCCAATCGGATGTGTGGGCCTTTGGGGTGCTCTGCTGGGAGATCCTCACCCTGGGTCAGCAGCCGTATGCGGCGAGGAACAACTTCGAGGTGCTGGCCCATGTCAAGGAGGGCGGACGGCTCCAGCAGCCGCCCATGTGCACGGAGAAGCTGTAAGTCTATCGCTGCTCTTAATTTCCGCATTACTGAATGATGAGCTTTGTGTAATCCTGGCCACCAGTTACTCGCTGCTGCTCCTTTGCTGGCGAACGGATCCCTGGGAGCGGCCCAGTTTCCGGCGCTGCTACAACACACTCCATGCCATCAGCACCGATCTTCGGCGCAGCCAAATGGCATCGGGAACGGGGGATACGGTGGTCAGCTGCTCCAGGCCGGAGTTCAAGGTGCGATTCGATGGCCAGCAGCTGGAGGAGCCAAGGGAGCACAAGGAGCAGCCGGCGGAGGAGAGTCTGACGCTGCGAGAGGTGCCGCTCAAGGAGAAGCAATTTTATGCCAACGAAGGAGTCTCCCGACTTTAAAATTGGAACCCCCACGTCCTTCACAAAGGTAGTCTCAAATCGAGGTGGTCGAATTAGCTTTCCATTTAATCTAAGCCTTAATTTTAAATGGCCCATAAGGCGGGCAAGTTTATATTCTACTTCGGATTAAGATACTTTTTTTTTTCTCAGATACAGGAATTATGGGCAAGCATTGCCTATAAGTTTTATTTGCACAGCTATTTATTTATTTGTAATACTTCAATGAATGGATAGATGTAAATATATTATTATATTTTTGGTACTAGCGAACGTTTTAAACGTAAATTTCCTCTGTAATATTTGCTCTTAATAACCATATTTTTAGCAAAATAGAAATTGTGGGGCTCTGCATGTATTTACCGCGAAATTTTATTTAATTATATTTATATCAGCGGCTTAGGCTGGCGTGCTCAAAAAAAGAAACTTTATTCGAAACTCATTTTCATTGTAATTCCGTATCTAATGCCATTCAGGACTATGCTTAATTTTATTGAATTTGCCGAGTTTTTAATGCGTGTTGGCCAGAAAAAGTTTGCGTCCCGTGCTTTTATTTTCAGCATTTTCCTCTGTGTTTCCTTTTGCGCGGCTTTCCCCCTGAAAATACAATCAAATTAAATGCGAGCGTTGCTGCAAAAGTTTGGCGATACTTCGCCCAGCGAATAATGCCTGGGTTTTAGCCAGCCTATAAATAGAGCTGAGTTCAGGTAACGTTCGCGAAGGTCGCCCTTTAACTAATCACCGCGGGTGAGGGAACTCTGAGCGGGAAAGTAAAGTGAAAGAGACTCCTGACCAACTTTCGCCACACGCACACACCACCACACACTCACCCACACCCATGGCCATCCATTTACAAACATGCAGATTTGTCAAATGCCTTGAAAAACTTTTCTCCCGCATCGCATTACACAAAAGGCTGGAAGAAAGTGGGGTTTTGGGGGATAAATCAAAAATTGTAAATAGCAGCACATAAATCGATTACCTTGTGAGGCTCTCGTTAACCCACGAAGAACGGAACATAAATAAACCATTTTTAATATGCGAATAAGCAGCTTAACCTTTTATGGAATACCCTGACTTTGGGTGACAGCGATTCCCCAAAGGATTGCCACAGTTTTTTGTAAATTCCATCATCCGCTGCTAGCAGTTACTAAGTTTCTATGACTTTCGGCAGGCAATACAGACAGTGATTGCCAAAATTATAACTATTCGCAATAGGGATTTCTGAATATAGTAATGGACAACTTATTAGTTACATTTTGCTTGGTATTTGCGCAGACCGCAGCCTTCCATTTTTTGTGGCCTTCCATTTAATAGCGTATTTAAACTGCGCTTAAGTCGACTTTATTTGCCAACAATACAGCTTGGCTCTTTTCTCCCAGTTATGGCCCCTTGCGTGCTTTTACTTTTGGCCGGAATTTTGATTCGGTGGGTGGGCCAGTGAAACGGGAGCTGCCTTCAAGGTGACTTGCCATTGATTTCGTTTATTATTATGGATGTTTTTTTGCATTCCCTTCCTTTTTTTTTTTTTGAATAGCAAGGTGCGCCATGCTCCATGCTCCTTGCTCCTTGCTCCTTGCTCCTTGCTCTTTGAGCTTTGAGCTTTAGAGCGCGGCAAGGATTTAATTTTATGGCCCCGGGAGCGGCGCCTCGTTGACTTATTGTGCTGATATGATTAAGTGGTTCGCTGGTTCCGAGCCGCTGACTCCGGCTTTATGACAAGTGCAGGATCCGAGGAGATTGGTTCTGGGATGCCGGGAACCTGGGCACTTTTGCCAGTCGATGATGCATGTGAGTTGAGTAGCTTGTAAGTTGTCAAAAGTTTCGGACTCATCCGCCCATGAGAATGGGACTCTTTAAATTTCGCTTAGATTCCATTTCATACGATTTGAAGTTTAGTTCACCATTTAAAATTTTCACCCCACCCCTCGACTGGCAAAATTGATTGAAATTAGATGAGCTTTTCATAATGCCAGACCTAAGCCGCAGTTTTCCCTTGGCAACCATCTACTCTGATGCGTGTGTGTGTGTGGGTGCGTTTTCCATTAAGTTGGACCCGCTTTCCCACAACCCGATGTCCACAACTAGCAGGTAAAAGTTTGTCCAAGTCGTGTACTCCATGCTCCATACGCCGTACTCCGTACTGCGTACTCCGTACTGCGGACTTCGGGCAACGCTAATATCCCTCAAGTTACCACCGACTTTGTGCCAAATTGGTTATTAAAAGAGTCAACTAGTGCGAGGCAGAAATAAATTGAGAGGCAACAGCGCAGGGAATGCCCTCGCACAAGCAGTTGGAAAATAGTAATAATAATAAAAGAGGGCCATCAGGATGTGTTGCAACTGCTTTCCGATATTTCTTGGGGGCATTCGGCGAGCGTAAGTATTCCTAAGTAATGTGACAATGTTTTCGCCTTAAATGCAGTGGCATTTATTGCATTGTATTTTATCGGAGCCATTGGCTTTCACTGACTTTGACAATAGTTTTAAAAGCGTACCACTTTCCTGACGAATGGCTTTCCATAGAATACAAATATTACGAATGTTACGATTCGAAGTACAGTCCCAGTAAATTAGTATAGTTAACAGCTGTTATCATTAACATAAGAGCTGTTAACAAACTGACTTTGTAAGAGATAGAAAGACTTGAAAGTAATCATCAGCCTGATTAAATTAGCAGAATTAGCTGTCACTGAAAATGCCATTATCAGGAAATGTAAAATTAGACCTTTATAGAAAATAGGACATATGGAGTGCACGCCTCTCTTTCACTCGCCCAATCTAAGGAATTGTCCTGGAAGAAGGTCATTAGAGGCCTTCGAACTAATTGAGTAATTTGCTCACCTTGATTGCTTTCTAGGCTAGTTGCATGTGTATGTGTGTAGTTGTCGGGACACTCGGCACACACACATACAGAGTCCCTAACACACACTCACACACACATGCTTGCGCCGCCATTTGCTCGTTCATTATTTCGCACTAATTAACGTTTCGCGACAAAAGGTGGCGCTTTATTTTTACAACTGCAACTGCGCTTTACTGCTGCTTCTCTGCTGCAACAGTTGATGCACTGCAATAAATATTGCGTGGAGAATCACAAGTGCACAGCACGCATCTAAAGTATTTTCTATTGTAGTGGGATATTATAAAAGTTGCAATAGTATTTAAGTGCAGTAATAATGCTCACAAATCGAACTCTATGTATTATAACAATTTTTGGAGATTTTTCCCAGTGCACTGGTGCTGCTGCTGCTGCTACGGGTATTGCTGCCACTTGAGAACCACTCGAGGGGGCGGGCCTCGCCTTAATTGCTGTTTATGAGCGGGTTGGCCCAGTAATTAAACAATTTCTTTTGGCCCGGCAAAAACAGTTTCACTAACGGCGCCAAGTAGTGTTTGTTGGCTGAAGCACATGCAAAAAGAAATAAAAACACGAAACACGAAAGCCAGCCAAGAAAACACATCGATTAAAAAAAAAAACAAAACATGGTGCTTATTGAGAAGTACAAGATTACAAATAAATTAACAATGTTTTGATTATATGAACGTTGCATCTAAGAAAGATTCATGTCATCCTTGGCTTCGGTGGTCCTCTCCCGCTGGCTAATCCGGCATAATCCCTGCTAATCCCACTAGACCCTCTTCGCCGTATTCCGCTCGATGTAGTAGGGTGCCGCTCCGATCTGTTTGCACTTGTATCTCAGCTTGCAGCATTCCGGAAAGGGTTCGCCCGGAGAGATTCGCTCGCCCCGGTTGCAGTTTTCGATGCGCAGCTTGCCGCATCTGTTGGAAAATGATACAAAATGTGAATTATTAAAATAAATGGAATAAGAACTTACCACAAGTCACTACAAATAGAATTTACAATTTCATGATAATTTACATACAACATGGTAATCCGCTGTGGAATTTTATGTGTGTTCAACCCACTAAACCTTGAGATTAGAATAAAAAACCCTCCACTGATTATGATTTGGGCAAACGAGCGACTTTGTACGGCATGATGTCTCTGAATTTCACAGATTGCGAAATGCGTGTTCAAAGACATACTACGTCTTGTAAACTTTGTCATAGCTAAAAAATGTAACCAAAAACACTTAACACCTCAAGAGCTAAAGCCATTTCAAATCTGGGCCAAGACTTTTAGTTTCCCTCAATTTACCCCAAAGGATGTGCAGCACCCTCCCCGCAGCTCCCAACTCTTTAGCTTTCAACTCTTTAGCTTGACCTAGAAATTACAGTCTCATCTTTTGCGCTACTTGGCGAACTCGAAACTCAAACTGAAACTAGAAACTGGAAACTCGGCGAGAAGTCGCAGTCGCAAGTGGTTGACATAGCGTTGGGTGTGCGACTTATCAGCGACTGGGGTGTGTCATAAAGTACACCCGAAAAAAGCTTGTTATTTCGTAAACTTTTGGTATAATAAAAGTGTACATTTTTGACGAAATGCCCAAGCTATATCGCAACTTTTCTGGGCACACCTATAACATTTGTCGTGACAACTTCAGTCCTTTCTGCTACAAACATATTTCTCCTTTGTAGTCCTGATTTCTCCCCGTCTATGTGAGCGATGGTCCCGTGACCGGGTCAAGGTGCTCTGGACTCACCCCTCGATTAGTATGGAGCCATCCTGGTTGCACGTCAGTCGCTGGCAGGGCGCGATGCCATTGGTGACCCCCAACTCCAGGACGTCGCCGCGGTACATGCACTTCCCGGGATTATCTGATCATAATAATAAACATATATACAAATGTTTTGATTTCATAATTAGAAAACACATATGCGCTCACCTGCATCCGGTGGAATCCGGCCCGAGTAGCCGCTCACCTGCGATAGCGTCGAGAGAAGCAGGACGCCTGCGATTACCAATGGAATCAATGGATTGGGACTGGCGTAGCGCTCCGGATGCATTGCGTCTGCCTTCGTGTTCAAAGCTGAACTGAATTGGTCCCGGACTCCGATCGGCGTTGTCTACACAGGGCATATTTATGGGTGTTACGCGGCTGGGTTGTCGTCTTTCCATTTCCACTGAATTTGCGGTGGGATTAATCAATTGTTTTTACTCAATATGCTCAATCGATTCAATCGATTAAGTCTCCCAGTAATTAAAGCTACTCCAGGGTCAAGGCAAGTCCAATTTTCCTGTTCAAACTATGAAGTGCTAGATCTTTTAATCATATTTCGGGATTAGGCATAATCTTAAATCATAGGGTATGCCGTAGTCGAGCCACTACGCTTGTCTGCGTGTTTTGTTGTTGAGTCTGTTGATTATGGTGTATTACTATTTAATTGAAGACGCCACTCCGCGTGGCAACTGATCTCTTGATTCCATTCGCTGGCGAGAGTGGTGGGGTCAGGCAGTTTATCAAATACGCTTTTGGGGCGATGCCGGCCTTTTATTACAGCACTTTACTGGCTTAAATTGTTCTAGATTGTTTGCACAATTAATGGCAAAAGCGGGACAGAGAGCGGCGAAATCGAGTGCAGCACTTACAGATAGAAATCGAGATAGGGATTGAGATGGAGTGCCGACGCGATGATGGCTAGGGAATCACGAATCGCTAGTCTAGGGATGGGGAAATACACTGCAACTGCAGCTTAGCTAAGCTTTAACTATAGAAGCACTGGCCCAAATACGAAATGACTTAACATTTTCTATCGATTGGCTATCCCACCAAATAAAGTAATTGTTTCCCCTCTTTTTGCAAGACAATTATAAAAGATCAAGAGAATTTTTTAGAACTTCAGCCTTGGGCCATTTTTCAATTACTTTGAATTTCTACAAAATACATCAGAAAAACTACAAAAAAATTAAAAAAAAAAAATAAATTTCTAAATTTGAATGCATTTAAGGTATGCCACTTCAAAATCCGATTAAGATAAGTTCAGTTATGGAGTTTAGAACTTCAGCCTTGGGACACTTATTCATTTATTTGAATTCCTACAACACCAAACATCCGAAAAATTACAAATAAATCAGAAATCAAAAAGCCAATTGTATTTGAAATTGGTGATATAAAAATAAAATGTCTGCGCTATCTAGAATCCTTTCTAGTCCGTGAATAAAGAAAAAGATGTGCACAGTTTGTATTTTGAAGTACAACATCTATTTTAATTATTTGGTTTTCAGCACCATTCAATAAGAAACGGACAAATTCGACAAACATATTGGCCAGACTTAAAGAACTAGTTCGGTGGCAAATCTTAATGAAATGCATTCGTTAGCTTAACCCGCACACAAGAGCAGACAAATGTTGTGGCAACTTGTGCAATCCAATTGAGACGAGTCCTTTCCCCTTTCCAGTTTCCTAACCCCATTCCCATCCATTCGCACAATGTTTGCCCTGCTGGCTATTAAATTTTTAATCAAGTTAAAGTGTTGTCAAACACTTCATTCAGCCAGTTCGTTCCATTCAACTGTTCAACTCGGAGCTCCAATTTTTGGCGGCAGTCAGAAACAGCAGGCAGACACAACCCAGGGATATCAGATATATGTGGTATGTGGTGATATGGGAACATGTAACTTGCCGCTCGTAACACTCCACCCCCCGAAAACCACCTGCCACCTCCCGCTCCCCTACGACCTTCTTTTTCCGTTCATTTGGTGTCGTGTTAGTTATGCATGCATTCATTCGTTCATTCAGCGACATTCATTTCGTTTCATTGCATTTTCTTACAACTTTGCACTGGCATATGCCGCACCACCACCCACCAACCACCCACTAACCACCACCGCCCACTGTAGCCACAGCGGCATAACCGCATTGTAGGAACCACTTCACCCACTATCGCTTCCTTTGGCTGCCGCCAATCCCTGTGGACACTTGGTCGTGTACTTTCTTTTTATGATGTAAGGCTTTCTTTGCCCGCTTCCCTTTTGTGCATGGGTCGAGCATAATGGCTCCACATTCAAGTCACTCCATGTTAATTAAATATATTTTCAGAGAAACCTTTAGTCACAGCATCAATGATTAGGCTTTGCTTTATATTTATAAGTACATATTTTAGGTTATTTTCCGATCAAAATTATATTAATTCAGAGAGTTAACTAACTCTGAACACTAGTATATTTTAGAACCAAGTGAATTCTGATCACTACGCGCAGGGTATCCCATATTCGAACCCCATAAGCTCGCGAATAGGATGCCTTTCCTGTTCGCCTTTGTGGTAAATGAAATGCAAATAAATTGTCAACTGCAGCTAAATAAAATTTTAATTTATAACGGGGTTTGACTAGCTTTCCATTGCACAAAGGGTGGAAAAGGGGCGGAAAACGAAAAGGGTGCTGCACTAGCGAGGGAAATTCTGCCCCAAGAAAGGTGAATGCAGCTGAAAACCATCTAAGTAATTGAAACGGAAGAACGATTTCCTTTGTCATTTGAATGCCGTAAATATTTATTGTGCTCAGGGATTTTCCGAAAGCTGTAAACGATGTTTTCAGCCATAAATAAAACAATGCGTGTGCCAATGCATGTGGTATTACACAATTATTAAAATTATAAGTAAAATGTCAGGTCTTCCTCCTAATATTGTAAGCTACTACAAACAATGTGTTATTTTTCGAACTTAAGTTTGAGGAAACTTGATTTTTACTACTTGCATATCATTGATAGATATCTTTTGGAAAGGCGAGAATTACCCACATTTTTCGGTCTGCTCGCTGGGCAGCAGAGTCGCAACTGCAGGCGCTGGATGACCAATTGACCACAAAGTGCGGGTTCGTGGCCCCTATTTTGGTTCTTCTTTCCCCCACATTTTTGGACTGGGCTTGCACAGAGCCACAGCTTCGGCTGCGGCTTCAGCTAATTCGCATTTGATTATTTAAATTAGCGAAATGAGTGACAGGCAGAGGCAGCGCGCGAGGAAGGAAACACACGCGCTCAAATTGAATAGTTTGTGCGGCCGATGTCCGAAAAGATCCAAAAATAAATGGCATCTGGGCATTCCGGTGTATGGTGTATGGCATACAGATGCGGAGCGACCTGGAGCAAATCGGGACATCGAGCAAATCGGCAGTGCTTTGTTGGACCGCCGAACTGTGGGACCAGCACAGCCAGCGAATTCAGATTTCGCATTTTTAGAAATGTATTCAGTGCAGGGGCGACATTCGCAGCGGCAACGAAAGCGACAGCCATAGCATACCCATCCACCCACACACTTGCACCTTGGCATCGGGCACCTGGCACCTGGCACCTGGCACCCTGGCACCCTGGCACACATACGCAGCTCACCAATACAGGCGCGAACAGATAGAAGAGAGAGTGCGGGAGAGAGCATTGAAGAAAGTGGTCAAGGAGGAAAGCTAGAAAGGCGTGTGCGTGTGCGTGTGTGTGTGTGCTTGCTGTGAATGCACGCCGGAAATGGCCAAATTAGTGACATACATCTTCATCGCCAGCTCCCTGGTCCTCTGGTACCTCCTGCTGTTCGGTGGCAGGGGCGTCCGGGGCGTCAGGGGCGTGGAGGCCACCAACGGGCACGGGGGTCAGCTGGAGGGACGCGACTTTCATCACCACGGCGGCAGCCACCACATTCGCCGTGAGTACACTGAGCAGATGTTTTCCCACCGGAAATCAAAAGTTGCCCGCAAATATTTATCATAGTTTTGCTGCTCTTCACTTCAGATTAATAAGTACGTATTTCTAATGACCATTTTGAATGCTGTAGGTAACATAAATCACTGCTGGCGCCGTTACGATGGCTACAACCTGCAGAACACTGTGGTCAACAAAAAGGAGCAGCTGAAGAAGCCCTATGGCATATTGTGCAACTTCAAGTGCACCTGGTTCTTCACCGTCAGGTGAGTTCTGCGCACTCGTATCCAATCGTTTATGGTTCATTTCTAACGCGAATCCTTGCAGCTTCCCCACTTGCGAGTTCATCTACGACTATAAGTTATCCTGCGTGCTGTTCACTTCACTGCCCGACTGTACCAGCGTCCAGTGTACGCTTATGAATTACTTCGATTAACTAGTGTATCTTTTTAAGCATCTTTTTTTTTGATAGCCTAAGTCTGACTAATACTAGATTTTATATGGACGTGTAGTGCGAGCTAGAAAGAAAGTATTATTAAATCAAAAGACCTAATTTACGAGAAGGAACTTCTTTATTTCAGTAGGAGTTCTTAATTATTAAGCTCTGCTCTGGATAGTATTGAATTTAAATGCATCTGCCTGGATATCGCCTACGCATAAAATAGCTTCTTGAGATTGACTAAGCATTGTCTATGAACTGGATTCATTTGTGCTGGCTACATATCCGGAGTCAAAGTTCGTCTCACTTAATGTTGGCGTAAGGCCAAAGAGTCAACAGTGCTGTTCGCACTCCATTTGATGGCGAAGTCGAAAAGCCACAAAAGCCATCAATGGACCCATCCAAGCCACGCCTCCTGAAGGAGGGCCCCACGCCCAATTACCTGGCCACATAACTGTTAGCTGGCCAAAAAGCAATCCACTTTTTGTAGTAAACAAATTTGAAACACTTTGTTACCGACGTCATTTTTTCCCGCCGCTCTCTTCTGCCGCTTAAAAGCGATATATCCGCTTAACCTGATGGCTAAAAACGTGGCTTAAAGGGGCAAGGAAAGGGGGGTTGGTTGGTGAGAGGGCGAGGGGGAAAGTTAACCAAACTTGGTTATTGCACGGCAATGGCGAAAGCAAAACTTCTCGCCCCTGCCCCGCCCCAAAGAGCCGCAAATAAATCGTTCGACATTTATAAGCCAGTCAAAGTTATGCCAAAGCGTTTCCTGAAAATTTGTGTACCCACCTAGCGAGCTTCTGTCAGTTCTCAAAGGAATGGGGGATGGGCAGGGTTTGTCAGGTGCTGGCTAAAAATAAGATAAATTATGTGGCTGTAGTCAATGGAGCTGTTAACTCGCGCACCTGCGCCGCTGGCCAAAAGGGTTCGCACTCACTCCACGCCCTTCAGCCCTTCAGCCCTTCAGCCCTTCAGCATTTCCCACCACGCCCTTTAAAGTCCTTTGACCAACTAACTGCTCCGGCGGAATCATTGAGTGGCTTTTGCGAAATTGAAGAGGGGGGAGGAGAACCACCAACTCACACGCTTCCATTTTTGGTCCGGAGCAGATGGGGCCGCACTTTAATGGAATCAAACGAAATGGCATTGATCGCTGAAGGCCAACGGACCCGCAGCCGCGGAATTCAGAAGATCAACTCGATTCGGCTTGGCTTGGATATGTCACTCAGTCCGCGCATTGTCCGTGTATTTGTAACTGGGATTTGGGTCGTGGTCGTTGTGCGTTGTGCGTTTATGTCACTCCATAGATACATATGGATGGGATTGGATCACTTGGGGGAACTGCGCGTAGTGCGTAGTTTGCTTTATTGCAGTGGCTTCTATTTCAATGTTGATTGGCAAATTACGGCAATTTCTGGGGGCTGGGAATTAGATTATTTTTAAATAGTTATAAACAAATTAATTGCGCATTACGACTGAATTGTGGTGCACTGCGTAGTGCCCATGTAAGCAGATTGCAATCAATTATGGAAAATCTAAAAAAGAGGCTCTTTTCTACCTAGGTGCACCACCAGAATTTTTCATCATAGCGAATAATAATAATTCCTGAACTAAATAACAACAATCTTCACCATAGATAACTTAAAAACTATTGAAGGCAGTATTCATGGAAACAGAGTGCACACGGAAATGTGATTTCATCTGGAATTTGACAGCGTGTGAGCCTAAGTGACTTGGCCAAATATACTGGGCTGCATTCTTTGGGCTAGTGCATCCATGGCACCCGTTCCATTTCACCTGCTTTGCCACAAAAAAGGTGCCAACCGCCGCGACTACAAATCCCATGAGAGCCGAAACCGAAACCGAAATGGAAACCGAAAACGAAACGGTGGACGGGAAGGCAAAGTGTGACTGACTCTCCCTATTGCTGTGAGCCTGCACTGAGAAAAAATAGGTGTGCTGGTTAAAGCTTTCTGTGCTTGCTGAAATACAAAGCCATCTTTGTCTAAAAAGTCCTCAAAACATATAATCTTTACCATCTGATACTGGGGCATCTGGAGGTAATAATAATCAGTATGGAATTTTTCTCGGTGTGGCACTCACATGCAGAGCAAGAGGTGCAGAAAGTGAAGCAGAAGGAGGCAGTTGGGGTCGCATACCCACACAACCGCAAGCGATAATTTATCAATTGGCATCAATTTAGGCGCACAACAGCTGAAACTCGTGGCATTTCTTTGCCGTTTGTTTATCTGTATCATCCCCTGCATATATATGTGTACACATATACACCTTTTTTCATCCCGATCTGTTTCGCTGGCCTGGGCGGCGATTTTCGGCACACTCGCGACATCCATCGCTGGCGGCGGTTAAATCCGCGCCGAGACAGCCACGTATCGCACTCGAGGCATCCACGAGATACATGGCAGGCTCAGGTTCGGAATCAATTTTATCAGCGGATTCTGGCTCAGAACTCGATTCTGATTCTGATTCTGGTTTTGGCGGCGGCGGCGGCGGGTGTGTTTACGATTGCTGTGCAATGGCCAAATCGATAACAGAAGCGAGAACCACAAATTCTACGGCGGCTACCATAACTGCAATACACACTCGCAAAAGCACCACAACAATCGCATTTGTTCTGCTGTTAATCCTCTGCTGTTTATGTGATTACAACTATGGAAGTATGTAGTCCCACCCAAACACCCCACCACCTCCTCCATATTCATTTTTTTTCGGTTTGATCACGTTTTTTTTGAGTGGGTGCTTGTGGTGAAAATTCGATGGTAGTTCATATTGCTCATACGCCATGTGGCCAAACAATAATACATAATAAATGAACCGACTTATCTACTTTATTAAGCTCCTGTACTAATACTGCAGAGCAAATAAACACAACACGTACCGTAAATTGTGCCATGCCTCGCTTATGTTTTTTTTGTTTTTATCAAAGTGAACCAATTTAAACAAAGAGTTTCAAATGCGAAGTACTTGGAGTTGCACGAGAGTGTAATGTCGCAGTGTAATTAACATATATTTCAATGTAATATATGAACTCGTACTAAATGAAAGCTTAAGTATTCTCATAAAGAGACTCTTCTCTTTCTAAACTTCAACCGGTCTATCTAATTGCATTTCTATCGACGTGGAGAGTGATTCAATAGTAATCCAGCTGAGCTGCAGTTTTGAGTAAAAAGGGGCATGCAGCCCACTGATTTTATTTCGAATTAAATGTGCCACAGTGAAGTTGGGGCACGCTTTAGGCTTAATTGGCAATCGATGTCCTTGCACACACAGATTAGTCGCCTCCCTACATCCCTACACACATACCGTATGCAACTGATACCAATTTGAATTGATACCACTGCTCAAGGAGAAGTTCTGATCCAACTGTTACCCATTCGCAGGCTGGGCATCGCAGTGCTGGAAGAAGCACAATTCCGGCTCGATCCAAACGCCAGACGGGGAGTTTAAGCGGCCCTTTGGCATACTGTGCACATATCGCTGCTTTCTCTGGTTTCCGCCAATGTAAGTTATGCAATCAGTCAGCCACCCAGTGACCAGCCATAAAAACAGCAACACCATCACACACATTTGCCATTGAAACACCCATCCAGCACTGGCAATTTGCAATTTATGCATGCCTCTGTTATTTCGTAGTGCGAATTGCATTTTAAAATAAACTTGTTTGGCTTTTGCTTGGGGTTTGCTTTTCGGACTTGAGCTTGGGGCCTTCCCACACGTACTACATACATATAATGTATGTAGCACATATATGTACGAGTTGTGCGGCATTTGAATTGCATAACAATTAAAATAGCCGGCAGCATTGTTTCGACTCGTTTTGGCTCATTTTCAAGCTGAGCTGCCTCGCCATCGCCATCGCCATCGCCATCGGAATAAATATTTTATCGGCGATTTCTTGCAAACCACACCGTGCAATGCATCACCTCACCATTTTCATTGTGGCTTCCTGGCATTCTGGCACCCCATTGCATCCAAAATGGCTCATTGTTCGCCTTCTGTTGGCCTTTCAGCTATCCGTACTGCGAATTCATATTCGATCTGCGCTTATCGAGGCACTTCACATCCTTTCCGGACTGCTACGAGATTCGCTGCAACGAGACCTTCTCCTTCTTCGGCAAGGAGCCCCACTACTGACCTCCACCACCTGGAGGGTCAGCTGCTCGGTTCCGCCGACATTTTTTTTGTGTTTTTTTTTCGTTTAGTCTATGTGTGACTAGGAATTGTATGCTTCAATAAATATGGGTTACTGCATAAAACAATGCACTCGTTTGACTTGCTCGAAAGTGTGAATGTAAAGCGCACTTAGCGTTTGGTTTGGTAAGAATTATGGTCGCCCTGGTTGTAGATTGGTTCGCTTGTATATAAATTGTATAAGTTCCCTGTAAACAGTGCCCTCTAGCCAGGCAATCAGTGGGACTGATTGCTTTAAAATCTCGCATCTCCTGGTTGTTGATGATAAATGGTTCTATGGACCCCATCCCACATTCCACATTCCACTCAAGGGACTCGAGTTGCTGTGAGAGGTGTTCATTGCCTTGGCGCCAGGCTGCAGGCAATTTCCATCACTTTCCTTTTCGGCTGGCTTTTAGTTTATTTCCGGTTTCGTAATAAAGGACAAACAAACATATAAACAAAGGGCATGGGACAAAGGACCGGCTACAGATACTGGATGCTAAACATTGAATACTGAATACTGGAGCGCCGCCCGCCCACACACAAACTCATTCAATTCACAAATATTTGCATACAAATTAGCATTCTAATTGACTCGGGCCCAAAAATAAAGTAACCAACTGGGCCTTGGGGGCGTGACCTGCAGGGGGCGGGGCACGTGATTGTCAAACGTGTCCGCGAGGAGGGGAAATGGAAAAGCAGCGGTATCTGTTGTCCATTGTCTTGGTTCCATGGTTCCATGGTTACCTTTGCACGGCCTGTGAACTTAACTAAACTATTGTAGCCCCAACTCCTTGGAGTGTCTCAAGTATAAAAAGCAAGGCTATTTCAGATTTTTGTGTAGTATGTGCTATTGGTTTAAATCATTAGTTTAGTGTAATAAGTGAGTTGATTATTCCCGGTGTACATTGAGTGCCCCTCCCTTTGCTCAGCCGCTCGAGTTAATTGTTTGCTTAGTGTCATAAAAATACAGTTTACGCCTTTCACAACAACACGCACAGATGACCCCGTCCCAAGGCACCAAGGAAGTGAAACCACTGCTCCCCGGGTGGTTCGAGAACTCCGCTGGTGGCCTAGCAGCGATGTGGCTTAGTGGAGTTGGCCAAGCGGAATGGGACTGGCATGGGATGGAAGCGGATATGGAAAGGAGTGAGATTGGCTGGGAGGTGGAGCGAGTGGATAGCAGCCACGTGCAAGCAAAAGGTCGTCGCAGACAATGTTGTCGCTCGAAAACTTTTAACTTTACAAACTTAATTGTTGCCTGCTCTAAATATATAACACAGCAGGATCTACCAGCTTTTGTGGGTGGTGGAAGTCGCCTTTGTGGACTGGCGTTGCTGAATTTATGGCACTCTGTGCGCCTAAAGTTATGCTTAATACTTTTACAAAGGTACAATTAATAGAATATTTGAAGCGAGTGCTTAAAGTTTTTTCAATTAAATTGCGAACGTCCAATTTAGACGTTACCAAATCCTTAAACTAATTAGGCTGTGTGTATATTGGTGTAATTTTTATGAAACGACAAACACAAACGCACCCCTAATCAAGATGCAATTTCTCAGAGTTGATCAAAACAAATTAAACCAAAGCGTCCTTTGCAGGTTTCATTAGAATACGCGCAACTCGATTTGGCCCGAGCATGCTCACCATGGCGTATACTTGATATTAAGAACATAACTTCGCGAGCAAACCTGAAATATGATTCATTCCGAAAAACCGCCGCAAGTATCCACACAAAGTGCATGGAGAGAAGTCCTAATAAATTAAATTAAAGCGTCTCCCTGGTGATTTCTGAATGGCAGTTCCACCTGCGCACTTCACAGTTCAGCTAATTCTGGCATTTTGCCGTACAACCCTGCGTATACGTGACGTGAGCCATGACTTTACCCAGAATAATGGGGAATCTTCCACAAAGGCGTCAGCTTTGAATAATGCAGGGTGAATTCGAAACTGAAGTTGTTGCAACTCCACTACGTCAAATAAATATTCAGAATGCAATTACGCATGGAATTTGCTAGCACTTAGCGTGTCGTTTTGCCCACTTGCTGCTTTTTTGCCCTTTCACTCTGCCGCACTGCTGCAAACTTATTTAACTTTTTACGATGTCATTTGGGGAAAGTTTGTAATCATTTTCGTTAGTGCATGCTTCAAAAATGGCAAGAGAAAAGAAGCTATGAAATTATTTATACGATTTTCAGACAGTTGAAAGTATACGACCGAGTATAAATAAAGCCCAGCTTTCCTTCCCTTCCCTTCCTTCCCTTTCCATGCCATTCCTTTACTTTCAATCCGGAGTGGAGGACGAAGTAGCAGGCGGCTGGAGCCGGGGAAACGCCAGTTTTCTCCAAATGCCAGTCGAAGTTTTCAAAAATGTTGTTTTCCACTTCTCCCGCGTTTACTCGCACTTTGCGTTTTTTCCCTTCCATTTTAACTTGTGGATCTGAGCCAAAGTTTTGGAGTATTAGTGCGTGCAGCGATTCGAGGCGGCCGAGTTGCAACTTTTACTTTCCATCCCGCTGCAGCTTGTGGTCGTATCCTGCAGTTCCAGTTATCCAGTTATCCAGTTACCGCTTCCCAGATGACGCAGGCCAACTGCTGAAAGCAGCTGCCACCGAAAAAACTTTCGGTTGATCCCAAGTCACAGTCCACGCCGATAATTTCCGGAATGTGCCGCCCAAATAAGTGCAACAAATTGAGGTGAGTGCAGCACATAGTTCTGTGCTATAAGTACCTTATCTGAACCCAAAACATATTGATAATTAGGGAGGTATTTTTGCGATATATTTCTAACCGAGCACAATACGTTCAATAGTTTTCCCTAATAGTGAAGAGCAAACAGCAGACGCAACTAAGACATTATTTTCAAATGCATCGTTGATGTTTTCCTTTCTGCGCTTGTGGAGTTTTTGCGTCTTGCAGGGGACAGCGCAGGAAAAAAGCTTTTAAGCTGCTTAAGGTTGTTGGCAGGACGATGTTGCCACAAGAAGCGAGTTGGGGATAAAGACCCAGCTAATGAGTTGACAGACCACGCCCCGCAACCCAGTCGCAAAAAGGGAGGACAGGCGGCGGAAATGGAAGGGGTCAGAGGGCAAGGGACAAGAAACAGATGGGCTACAAGCACTCGCTTTTCTGAGAGTGCAATGGAGAACATTTCGCAGCGAACTCTGCAAATGGGTCAAAGTGCGGTCAACTCCAAAATACAGCAGCAATGGACTTGTTTATCAAAATGGATTCTGCAGGAGCAGATTTAAGCGAACTCTTTGCTCGATTTGTTCAGGTATTTTGTCTCCATAGCAGTACAAAATGATTTCAGACACTTAGTGATCACTTGCCAAAACAAGCACACCCTCAAAAAAACAGATCGTCATTTCCATGTGCTTTGCTGTCCCAGTGGGTCACACAACTTGCACTTGACATTATTGTGATTGCTGGAAAACAAGCGATTATTATGACAAACTGTTTGGGTCCAATCTGGGTTTGTTTTTCTCGTCGCACAGCATCGCCTCGCCTGTACTTGGATTGGAACGGCTTGGATGGGATGGGATGGGATGGGACTGGACTGGATCGGGGGCATTAATCATGGGCGAGAGCTTGGGGCATGGACATCGGCCTGGGCAAAACGCAAAATTTGCATTGCAATTTTATTCTTGATTTAATCAAGTGCCGTGGCACAAACGCCAATTTAACTACCCACACACACACACACGCACACACACACGCACACGAGAGCGCACACACCCACACATCCGCAGGGCAATGAGAATGCCGTCAGACGTTGCGTATACGTAATGCTTTTGGTTTGTGCGGCTTTATGGGATGGTGTGAGCTTAGCGCGTAGTTTGCACCCGCCAGCCGAGTCACCGAGATGTACCAGCTGGAGAAGATCTGGGTCCTGCTGTGCCTGGCCCTCGTCGGCGTCCTTGGCTTTGGCCAGTTCCACATGAAGCACTACCAGCTGCAGCGCAACTACAATACGCAGGAGGATTCCGGCGAGAACGACAATAGTGTGCTGCGTGAGTCTTCATCCTAGATTCTGCTCGGTACACAGAGGAAAAAGGTTGTAACTAGCAGATGCATAAAGTAATCGAGTTTATTGGTTGGCCATCTTGCAAATATGCCTAAAATGTAACATCAATGCTGAGCATTTTATATGGAGTGCTAGTGGTTTTGCGAATTTCTGAAATAATAAGTTTTTTTCTCCATGCAGGAACCTTTCGCCGCTGCATGTGGGAGCAGTCGAAGTTCCTGCCCCGCCGCCTCGTCCTTTTGAGCCTGTGCTCGAATCTCTTCTGCGAGAACAACCACATAATGCCCCGCTCCAGGTCTATTTTCGTAGTGGAAAAAATGTCTAGGCCGAATGAGTAGTTGACCAATGCAATTCTATATAGCTAAGCATGTGCACCCAACCCAGCATGCCCCAGAATCCACACACACCCGCCCCCCAGAAACGCCCGCCATATGGAATCTACACTAATACCCAATCTCTATCGCTGCTCTGTGTCTCCTCCAGCTGCCTGGACATCCTGCCGGAGCAATGCGAGCAGGGCGATGAGGAGGAGCTGATGTACAAGCCCTTCCCCGACTGCTGTCCGGTTTATTGCAACCTGAAGCGTCGGATGCAGCGCCTGCGCACCATGCACTTCCGGCACCGCCTGCTGCGCAACAAACAGGACGGCTCCGCGGGATCCGCTGGCAGCGGATCCGCTGGTGGCGACGGTCCCAGCAACTCGCTGCTCAGCGAGTTTGTCTACAACAACTACTAGGACGACAGGATGGTTGCTCGGCAGGATGGCGATGGCCAACTAGGACGACGCAACGGGGACAATCCAGCAAATCAAATTATTCTGCAGTTTGTGCACCGCTCAACTTGCAGTTCCGCACAAAAAGGCAGTCGCGTCACCTCAACACTGGGCGGAAATGGATCCAGAATTGATTTATTCGGATTGTGTTAATCTCAATATGTAGGCTATAACATAGAATGTAATATACAAGCTGGTATTCACCAAACTGAGCACGTAAAATCACAATGAAGTGGTTGCAATGTCAAACTAACGTAACTAGCTGTCATCATTTTGAAATTTAGTTTAGTTTGCAGGATGCCCATAGTTTTTGTGCAATGAATCTGGCTACTTTTTCTCAGTGGAATCACTCCAATGTCCAATTGAAACTGTCACTCTTTGGGAATTCGTCTAGACAGGCTCTCGAAAGTCCAAGTCGATGGACCTTTTCCATCGCTGCTTTGAGGCCGTGACCAAGTAGCTGCAGCCCTTTTTTCGGGCTTCCTTCATTAGGGCTTTTTCGGAGTCTCAAGGGCTGTGCTCAGCCCAAGCTGTGATTTTTTTGGCCAAGGTGGGCGGAGTGGGCGGTGTGGTGTGGCGATATATCCTGCAGCAGTGCTTCCTGTTTCCGCTTATCGTTTTAACACTTTTATGGAGCAGCTGCAGCTGCGGAGCTTCGTGCTGCTGCCTTTGTCTTCATTTTTATCTGCAAACAAGCAATAAATTTTATTTTAATAAGCAACACTTTTGATAGCCAGTCTCGAGCTGAAAGTTCCTTCTGCTCCTTCCCTTCCTTCTTGCCTGCGCTTCCCTTCCTGTTTCTGCACTTGTTCTGCGGCTTGTCCTTGTCCTGGCAGTCGCTGCCATCCTGGCTGTATCCTTGCTGTGGCGCAGCAGTAAATACAAAGGATGCTCGGCATCATCGGCTCACGGTTAGCTGCCATAATATTGCGGCCCAGGCAGAGGCGTTCAGCAAAGGGGGTAAAAACTAACTAAGCTGTGCGTGCAAAGGGGTATTTTCTACACAAGAATCCTACATTTATTTAATGTGCTTATTTTTAAGCATTCCAATGAGATAAAGCCAAGAGCTGGCAGCAGTGTCGATAAACTAAATGTAATACACGCACATCTTATTAACGATATCAGCCCATTTATAATACCAAAATGTGGTTAATGGTAAAGTTGCCGATAAGCTGATTGCCTGTGCCTATTGAGCAGGCCTTTTGTTTGAATAGAAAACCAGGTAATCCAACAACATGATGGAAACGTGAATGGAACATTGCAAACAATTGCCAGTCATTTGACTGGATCCTTTTGGTCGGTCGTTCTGGGCGCCACGTCAATGTGCTTGGCTTTGTGGCAAAACATTATCCCAAATCCAGTCCAGACCCAGACCCAAATCTGGCATCCAGAATCCTGCATGCAGCGTCCTGGGCGCTGATAATCTCCCTGGACCATGTTGGCCGCCCACCGCCTCGTTTACTTTGTGTGACTATATCCTGGGATGTATGTATAAATATATATGCTTTCTGGTGCCTCCTTCCCGGCCATCGTCTTATTTTTTATGTGGCCTTATGAGGCAACATCTCATTGCGTCTGTGCCTGTGTGCGTGCGTGTGTGTGTGTGTGTGTGTGTGTGTGCGGCGCCTCGTCGTCCTTCTTGCTGCCATTGTTGTTGCAACTGCGGATGGTGTTGTTGTTTTTCTTACTTTGTTGCACTTTGAAGATTATTGCACAATGCAATTTATATTTATCGTACGCTTTTAGTTCTAGCCGCTTTTTGCCTAGATCCCTGCGCTGCAACAGGGCATATGCATTCGTGCACCAGATTTGACCCGAGTCCTTGGAGAATCAAGAAGAAAGTTTGCTGATGACATCGAATGACCCGTCTAAATGATATATAGCCTCTATATAGCCTCTTTATAGCCTCTACATATTTTTTCTCGATAACTGATCTAATAAGAAAAACAAATCATTCCGATTTCAAAGGGTATCTAATGCTCATGCCACGATGGCCACTTTGATGTTTTTGTTTCATTTATGTCCTTGCTGATGTCATACACATGCATGCTTGGATGGATGCTCACACATACTTGTGTACATACATGTACGAGCCTGGTGATTTGTGGGGCGTGTCACAGCCCCTTTTGTTGTCATACCTGCAGAATAGTGCAGTTGGGCGTATCTACTTTACCTGCATGTGGCCACAATGCGGATGATTATAAAAATTCAATGCATTCATAGTAGTCTTGTTCACCCCTTTCCTTCAAGACAACAGATTTTATGCACAATTTCTTTTTCCAGCTGCAAGTTGCCACTTTAAATTCTCGACTTTGGCATCGATTTAATGGTGACCTGCGATGAATCGAGTGAAAGGCCAAAATGTCCATTAATTAACCGTGGAATAGAAGAAAGAGCTTCGTTTCCATTCAATGAAAACTCCCAGATTTTTGCAGCCAGGATTTCAGTTTTCTTTGTCTCGTTTTTCCCTCGATTTTTTTTTGTTTAACTCTGTACAATTAGGCGGCGCGGGCTTTTCTGGCCTGAACTCAAAACTGTTGAGTTGTCGGAGCAGTTCGAGTTTTCCCTTATTGACATTCTTCAGCAAAAAATGGCCAAGGCGGAAGAAAGTTGGCGAAGGATTAAGTGGGAGAGGGCACTAAATAACTTTTCCATGAAGTTGAACCTGATGTTGGAAATCAATAATGACGAGACTGATTTGCTCTGAATGGCCTAACTCCACTGGGTGGAGCTGTATGAAATGGAAATACGACGAAATCTTTAATGATTATATCAAAATGCAAATAATCCATTCCACATTCAAAGTAACTCCACCTTAAGCCTGATATATTCGCTAATATTTGGTATTTTAATTTAAAGATACACTTTCTGTTAAGCAAACTCAACTGTTAAGTTGATTTACAAATAGTCTTTAAAGTTCCTAAAGCCCCTTTGACTAGCAGCCCATTTTGCTTAGGGCATCGGCAGCGGCCTGTCCCATGGCGTTTTCCGTGGATCCTTCGGGTTCCATGAGCAGGATATCCTTGCTGACTTGGAGCAGCTTCACAACCTCCTTGAGTCGCCGCTGGAACTCCTGTCGTGAGATCTGTCCGCCTTGGAAAGCCGACTGGGCCAGAACCATTACGGGGGCATGCAGCTCGTACATGATAAGTCCTGCGGTGGTAAAATGTTTTCAAAATATTCCTTGATCCTTAGACGGCCACCTTTAGACCCACCTCGCAAGCGCGTCAGACCCGGATCGAGTACATCGACGATTTCCAGAAACTCGCGGCAGTAGCTCTCCTTGCGGGCAATGTCCTCCGGGGACATCTGTGGCAGTAAGTATCCTTCAGTCCGCCCGTAAATCTGGCACAGAGAATATTTGGCCGAGAGCAGGAGGTAGTGATTCGGTCGCAGGACATCCCGATATCTGCAGGACAATGATCGATTGGAAGTCACGAAGCAAAGATATATTAGTCGCCTGCTTTAGGTCTTATTATTGAATAAATAATAAATGAAATGGAAGAATAATTCAGAGTTATGGTGCAAAATATTAAAGCTGTCGCACTCGCATTTTTTTCCATTTTGTTACTGATCGATCGGCCGAATAGGGCTAAAATGATTCTTTAAATTAGTTAAAGCATTTAGATATGTATGTGAAGAAGTGTGTAATTGTATTGGCAGTATTCCTATGATCCGTGAATGCAGACGCACCTAAGGAGAAAGTTCTCCAGTCCTGGAATATCGTGGACATCAATGTCCTCCAGGTCGTTGTTGATGCGGTCCAACTGGCGCTCCACTTCCGTAGCTCCCATCTTGTGGGAGCAGCGGTCGCAGCTAATTTGAATAATATAAATATTGGTTTAGTGCACAGCCTTTTGGCCCAAGGATATCGCTCAGTGATGGGTGGGCTGGGTCAGGTTTTCGAAAGTATAATTCTAATCATGGCATAGTGCCCGCCCATCACTGCCCGCCACACTACTCACGCCCAGTCGCCGGTCTGCTCCAGTGGATCCACCGCCCGCACCGATCCCGTCCGACAGGTGGCGCACACGAGGGCGCTGCAGTCGGTGCCCAGCTCGCGGGGATCGGAGCAGCGCCGGCAGCAGCACCAGAAGAGCTTGCCCTCGTGCATGAAGGCGCGCCGCTTGAGGGTGCCCTGCAGCGTGTACGCATAGCTGAGCGTCAGCGCTTCCCGCTCGCGCACGCGCCGCGAGGTGCGCAGCAGGATCTCGAAGGACCTCGGGTCGTCCGTGTGCGCCGTGTTCGGTGTGCAGTCGTGCGCGAGCAGGAAGGCGCTCGGATATAGCGTCCGCGCCTTGGCGCCATTCTGGCCGATCTCGAAGCAATTGACGTCCAGTATGCCGCACACCTCGTGCACCTGCTCCGCCTCGAGGTCCTCCAGCTGCCAGGTGACGCGCAGCCGGTGCACCACCTTCTCCTCGTAGTGGCGCCACAGCACCGCGTTCTGGCGCCGCTCCTCCGTGTGCGATTCCATGCGGGCGATCAGAGCGAACTGCTCCGGATCGTGCTGGCGCAGGAGGAGGATGCGCACGATCATTATCAGTTCGTAGAGGTCACGCACTTCCGCCGGACCGGCGCGTTCCGTCAGCAGTTCGCCGGCGACCGCCCGTCGTTCTCCGTACAGTTGGCACTCCGTTTCAGTGTGACCATGTCGCTGTTTGAGGCCCGCGCACGCGCTGCCGCAGAGTGGCCAGGCGCAGCCAGGGCATCGGTATTGATCCGACTTGAGAGACACCGGCTGATAGCAGCCCAGGCAGACGGGATCACCGCTCACACATGGCCCAATGGCCAGTGGCTCCTCGCGGATCAGCGTCTCGCCCGCCTCCAGCTGGCGACTGGCCACCAGATATCGGCCATATATATCCGAGTGTTCTACGCGATATGGCTGCTCCTTGCCCTCCGCCGTTGGCGAGGCACTGCGCTCCTTGTCCTGCTGCTCCTGCTTATCCTTCGACTGCTGACCACCCCGTGGGTGCCTGGCTCTGTTGTTGTTTTTGTGGTGATTCTGCGGGGAGGACAAGCACAAGAGATGAGAGCACTCATTAGTGGCGGCTTCCGTTGCTAATTGTATTCTAATTGCTGTCCCCTGCTCTCGCTCATTAATCACCAGTTCGGCCCACTGTCGCCCCCAAAATGGGCAGATGTTCAGCTGCCCAGCTGTCCAAGTCGTCCGCTGTTCCACCTTCCACCTTCCCACGCCCACAAGCACACGCCCAGTTTCGGCCGTTGTCAACAGCTGGCAATTAAATGCCACTCAGTTGGCCGCAACAGGTGCCTGTTCTGCACGCCCACACATAGAGGTGTCCCAATCGATTTGGCCCAACGGATTGCATCGGGCGACATGCTCGAACTTTTTCATGTCTTGGCAGGCTAACTGAACCAGGAACTAATAATATTATGTACATATATTAGGCTCTCATAAGTGCCCAGCCATAAATGTAACTCTATATTCTTATGTTTTTCAACCATATTAGCTCAGATTCTTGATTAAATGTGACAGACATTTCTTTGGAAGGCTTTACGAAACTTGAGAGAAACTAGAGGTTTTGGTGTTTATTGTGAAACGCTGCCAAATTCTACTTTTAGCTCGACAATTGCATTCAATGCATACGCAAATTAGCTTATTCCATATAATAAACACTGGATTCTTGCCAATTTCTCGCCATGTCTTGCTTTATTGATATTTCTGGTACACAACAGATTTCAGTGCGTTCATCTAGTCATTTCATTATTCCATTACACTGAATAAAGACTTAATAATTTCATATGGCTCTGGTTTGTTTAAAGTATTTGGTAAAACAAATAAACAGGCTATCTCTTAATCATGCTGTTAATGGACTCAGGACTTACACAAATAAATCTGTACAAATTTATCGGACAATTAAATGCACTGATTAAACCACTATAAATTGATTAACTTCATTTTAATACGCTTTCCGCGGGTACTTTCATATTATTTCCTGCAGTTAGCTGTACTAAATTATTGTATAAATTGTACTCTCTTTTTCAAGCGTATATGCAAGCAACTAAGTATTTATTATAATAAGTCATAGGGTATATAGAAACCAACTTGAGAAGGTTAGTTTAATTTCTTGTCTCATTTTCGACGTTAAATGGCTTACAATGCTCTCGTGCGCACTTTAATCTGATTACTTCACCGATATTTCATTTAATGGAATGTCTTCAGTAATTGGGGGGATATTTTCTTGGCCATAATGGATGCGAATGAAAACTGGCTACCGGAAAACTAATGATATATCGCCGTTCAACTTGTGAGCTCCTAACCGATCGAATAATGATTCATGACCCAGCTTGTGTGTGGAAAATCAATTTCCATACTTCTGGTTTCTCTCAACGCCTGCATATCGGATTCATTCATATCCGACTTATTTATAGGCGGCGACTCTTTTGAAAATCGCCGAGCACACATTGCGTTTCGTTATAAATAAAGCAAAACATAACAATGTGGCATCGCACCACCCCAATCGCCCCACCACCTCACCACGAAGCCTCCGAACCACTGAACCACCGGGCACAGTGGTTCACTCTCCGATTTCCTTTTCATCACCACAAAAACAGGGAAAACTGAAGCAAAAATGTCGGTTCAACAGCGAATACAGAATATCCAAAATAGATTTGGGTGGATTTGTCGGGTGGTTGTGGTCTTTTAGGATTTTTATGCGACTTGGGCTCCGATTATAGTGCACCACTCGAATGAGAAGCGCTTGGGATCGGGTCTCATTTGCCAGGTCAATAAATGCCACTCCATATGTATATATCATTAGTACAGGGAAAACAAATTCTTTCGATTTTTTTTAGATAGCATACAACATACGATCGCGCAGTTAAAAAAAGAATGCTATAGATTTCTATAAAGGTCCATGGATAATCAGAAAGTCAGATAATCAGATAATCAAATGAAATATCTACATTAGTTTCTTTGTGTGTACGAGTGTGTAATGTGCTTTTCATTTCACTGTGACTATTTGCAGTTGTCTCTGTGGTAAATTAATTTTTAATTATGCATTCGCCCACCAACTGCCACGCCCCCTGCGCTACCTGCGGTGTTTACTTTTTTTCTTCCCGGCATCGCTTTTATTTGTATTTAAATTTGATTTAATTTTATTTCCGCGGCGCAGCTTGTTAATTGATTTTAATTGATAATTTTAACGCGGTGCACACGAGTTATTTAAAAGGCCGCGCGCATTTAATAGATATGTTTAACAACTCGTCAATTAATTCTGCCTGTAAATCGCGCCGAATAAATGTGTCAGCAGATTGCACAGCCAAACGAACAACAACAAAAAAGGAAAGGGAATCCAAAAATCGAAGATAAAACAAATATGTACTGTATATAAATAAAAACTCTGGCCACGCGTTGTTCGAACCGCGAGGCACAAATTGCAACTGTCGAGTTGTCGTCGAACGTCGGACGTCGAAAATCGGGAGACGGCGCTACGCCCAACTTGTTGGCACACATTCAAATTCAAAATTAACAGACCCGGCCACCCCACACGCACACACCCATACTCTCGCACACTCACGCACGCACACACTGACAGTTGGTATATATATTTTTAAAAATTTATGATATTGAAAACATTTTGGCCACAAGTCCACCGAGAGCCCAGCCATCTGATTAAAAGTTGGGGGCACTTCAATGCCACTGTCAAGATGAGTTAAACAGCTCATATGCATATATACACATATATCCGCATCGCGCGATCTCTCTGACTTTATTTCGGATATATTTCGATTTGTTTGGGTCCTCATTCGGCCCAGAAATAAATCAATTTGATTTGACTCGGCGCAGCACACATTAAACAGCACTATTAAATCGGGAGAATCACGTATATGCAATATTGCATTGGACGAAAAATGTAGATAGTATGCGTACATATATTTGATTTATTCTAATTTCTGAAAAATACACGTATGTACAACTGATTCTTATGAATTCTAGATCTAAATTATTCAGAATATGATTTAAATATAGCTCATTTTTTAGTGCTGCTGCATTTATACATACATGCTGTTAGTGCATTCTGCAAAAAGAAAATATCAGTCCAAGCAAACTAAGATTTTCAGATACTTTTATGTACTTTCTTGTTGAATAATCCAGATAAAGTCAGCCCAATTATTTCGTCCGAATGTGTGCAACTAATCAACTGCTTCCGTGTGAAACCCCATGCAAAATAATTACTGAAAATGCCAGGTACGGTTTTGGGTACTGAGGTCATAACTGGCAATTAGCTTTAAATGCCAGCTGGATCAAAGGAAACCCATGGATATGACCCAAGGTTTACCGTGATCAAAAGCCCTTGGTTAACACAGCTGAACAAGCCGTATTTATGCAGTGGTTGGGGCTTGCGTACATGTCTGGCTATTTAAAAATTTATTTTACCCTGAAATCTGTCAGAAGTGGCCCCAGCACATGTATTTGCAGAAGTGCAGGCCAAGTGCCATCACCTGCGCCGATTTGAAGGCCTTTCCAGCCGCCCACTATGCCACACCACCCACAGCAGCCAGACAAAACACCGAAAAACGCCCAAAAACACCCACTAACCAGCTAGAAATCTGCATTGTATCTGCGGGGCTAAGTTTCGATTCTCTTTGGCCATGAAGTGTTTTGGTGCGGAGTGCAATGATAAATAAAATTGCTTTTCGACAAACTCGCCAACTGGATGGCCCGAAATTCTGGCTGTCAGTGGCAACTTAAGCCGACTTAACAAAGTCCCGGTCTGGTTCCTGTTGATATTGCCCAAAAATGCTGGCGATTTATGCAGTTTTGTTTTCATGGTGTGTCAAAAGTGTTCATAGAGTCGTCATCGTTTTATCCATATACCCATATATCCATATACCCCGCACATCCAACTTCTTTGTTGTTCTTCTTTATGTGCGAGGGCATTTCAATTAGTTTTGAAACATTGCCGCCGGCCAGCTTTTTAGTTGCAGTTGATGATGCTTCTTTTGCTGCTGCGGATTTTAATTGTTTTTATTGCATTCGCCTGCGGACAGAATGGAAAAAATCGAGAACTGCATCGGAAATGATCTGGACTCGAATGGGCTTCTCAGTTGGAACTTGGCATACCCTATAATCGGTACAAAAAATGGTATTATTATAGACGGTGATCTAATAATAAGAATATATAATATATATAAGATTAGAAAAATATACTATTAATATTTCCTTTTTAGATTATTCCTAAAGTAGATAAGCCCACATACGAAATGACTACATATTTTATTATAGCTTTTCAATTATAGTAAGTGAACTTAAATGACCCGCAAAATCTGAGCAGCTTTCTGAAAAAATGTAAGCAAACTAATTATATTTTTTAATATTGCCTTTCCAAATTATGTTTATCTAGAAGTTATTTTATTCAGCATTATTAGCTTTTCAGTATGAATATTAATTAAGAGCCACAATTAATCAAACAAAACTGACTGAAAAGCGAAAGGTCGACGGTTTGATAATTACCGAACCTATTATGCATTGTTAGTTTGTGTAACAAAATTTTTGCAAACATTTTGAGTAATTTATTTGGAATTGATGACCAATTTACTGTGATATTTGCATAAATTAAAGCATGTTTATTTTCGTATTAAGTATATCACTATTTCAGAGAATACCCATCGATGCGTCTGAGGTGGAAAAGGACAGCCGAAAAGTATGCAATGCTAAATGGCCGCAGGTGATGCATCATGATAGTGTGAGTGAGAGTGTAAGTATGTGTGTGGGCGCCATCTTCCTTCTTCATGCATGAGTATTGGCGACTATGCCGTACGGAATGACATTAAATTTGCATGTATTTATGTACATAACCTCGCACGCGTCCGCTTTGTTTATGATCTGGAGCGGAAACGAGGCGCATGCAACATCCATAGGAGGACTCGGTTCAACATCCTTCCCCTGCCACGCCCCTCCGCCGCCCAGGAAACACTTGCCTCGCCCCCGGAGGCGTGTTAAGTGCGCGACACCCAAAAACAAAGTGAACCCTTCGACAAAAGCGGCCGAATCGGAGGCCCACGTGGTCGTGGACGTGCATGTGGATGGAATCGGGTGGGATGGGATGGGTGGTGTGTCCTGGGGCAGTGGCACAAGTTTGCCTATGCGGCAAATATTTCCCACTCAGCTGGGGCAAGGAGCTCAAGCCTTTGATAGACTGAGAGAGAAACTTGGGGAACTAAGATTGCTATTAAATCTAAATCTTTGATTATGTGAAGAGAGCTTAGAAATCTTTTCTGACATTTGGCACTTAAGTAGCAGTATGTATTACTTTACATATTCCATTTAAATTGTATTTATTTAAAAATACTATTAATACAGCTTAATAATAACCTTATTTGAAATGTCTTTTCTATGAATTGTACTTATTTTGCCAAAGTTTCCCCTTTTTCTTTCTGTGCGCAGCGACTGAAACTGTATATTGTTGTTGATGACTTTCAGTGTCAGCATAAACGTCACTCCATTCCCGCCCGTTGGCCCCTCGTCCTGCCTTCGCGTACCGCCCACCCACCAATTCAGTTCCTCCAAATGTATTCAAGTATGTCGACCCCAATCCTGTGTTGTCTGGGTCGGGCCCAGTTAACTGCACTCCCCAATTTTCCACACACTCAGACGGAAGAGCCATAGTGTCGAGTCTAACATTAAGTTGGCTGTAATTGACGCAGGTAAATGCAATCGCATTCACATACGCATTCGTCTTCGGTTTCCAAATTTCACATGGCTCGCCAGCTCTCTATTTGGATTTGGATCTGACACATTACGGTGCAATGGCCAGGCTGACTCACCACTGAATAGATGATTACGATCTCAGGGATTCTAATCATTTCCTGTAATGACAGACAAAAGACAGATTCAATTTGTAGTTCAGGAATATGTATACTTCATACTATAATAGAGGCACGTAGTAAGGCTATGTCGAGATGAAAATTAAAATAATTCAAATCGTTATAACATTGCTCTAAAAGTTTGTAAAGCTAAGAGAATGACTGTTTTGTTTTGCGAACTAACACTGCTAACAGTTCCTATCACTTTTGTGCTGGTTTTCGGAAACATCATCATCAAAATTTGCGAAAAATGGCAAAAAATTAGAATTTCCATTTTTGAATACAGGTCGATAGGAAATTTTGTTACGAATTAAACGCTATATGACATTCTAGTTTTGGACAACTATTTTTATTGATATCGCAAAAAATCTGATTATTTTTATCAAAAAAAATCGAAAAAAAAATTTGTTGTCAGAAATCGGATATTTTCAATCGGGGTTTTCGCGTTTTGTGCTGCTAATAAACCCAGCTAACTATGCCTATCACTACTTTTATGATTTTCGGAAAATAAAATTTTAACAATTTTTCACATTTTTTATAAGGGGTACCCCCATCAAAATTTGCGAAAAATGGCAAAAAATTAGAATTTCCATTTTTGAATACAGGTCGATAGGAAATTTTGTTACGAATTCAACGGGGTATGACATTCTAGGTTTGGACAACTAGTTTTATTGCTATCACAAAAAAACTGATTATTTTTATAAAAAAAAATCGAAAAAAAAATTTGTTGTCAGAAATCGGATATTTTCAATCGGGGTTTTCGCCATAACTTAGCCAAAAAAGAAGGCACAGCCAAAATGAAGACTGTTTTGTGCTGCTAATAAACCCAGCTAACTATGCCTATCACTACTTTTATGATTTTCGGAAAATAAAATTTTAACAATTTTTCACATTTTTTATAAGGGGTACCCCCATCAAAATTTGCGAAAAATGGCAAAAAATTAGAATTTCCATTTTTGAATACAGGTCGATAGGAAATTTTGTTACGAATTCAACGGGGTATGACATTCTAGGTTTGGACAACTAGTTTTATTGCTATCACAAAAAAACTGATTATTTTTATAAAAAAAAATCGAAAAAAAAATTTGTTGTCAGAAATCGGATATTTTCAATCGGGGTTTTCGCCATAACTTAGCCAAAAAAGAAGGCACAGCCAAAATGAAGACTGTTTTGTGCTGCTAATAAACCCAGCTAACTATGCCTATCACTACTTTTATGATTTTCGGAAAATAAAATTTTAACAATTTTTCACATTTTTTATAAGGGGTACCCCCATCAAAATTTGCGAAAAATGGCAAAAAATTAGAATTTCCATTTTTGAATACAGGTCGATAGGAAATTTTGTTACGAATTCAACGGGGTATGACATTCTAGGTTTGGACAACTAGTTTTATTGCTATCACAAAAAAACTGATTATTTTTATAAAAAAAAATCGAAAAAAAAATTTGTTGTCAGAAATCGGATATTTTCAATCGGGGTTTTCGCCATAACTTAGCCAAAAAAGAAGGCACAGCCAAAATGAAGACTGTTTTGTGCTGCTAATAAACCCAGCTAACTATGCCTATCACTACTTTTATGATTTTCGGAAAATAAAATTTTAACAATTTTTCACATTTTTTATAAGGGGTACCCCCATCAAAATTTGCGAAAAATGGCAAAAAATTAGAATTTCCATTTTTGAATACAGGTCGATAGGAAATTTTGTTACGAATTCAACGGGGTATGACATTCTAGGTTTGGACAACTAGTTTTATTGCTATCACAAAAAAACTGATTATTTTTATAAAAAAAAATCGAAAAAAAAATTTGTTGTCAGAAATCGGATATTTTCAATCGGGGTTTTCGCCATAACTTAGCCAAAAAAGAAGGCACAGCCAAAATGAAGACTGTTTTGTGCTGCTAATAAACCCAGCTAACTATGCCTATCACTACTTTTATGATTTTCGGAAAATAAAATTTTAACAATTTTTCACATTTTTTATAAGGGGTACCCCCATCAAAATTTGCGAAAAATGGCAAAAAATTAGAATTTCCATTTTTGAATACAGGTCGATAGGAAATTTTGTTACGAATTCAACGGGGTATGACATTCTAGGTTTGGAGAACTACTTTTATTGCTATCGACAAAATACTGAGTTTTTTAAATGAAAAAACACAAATTTAAAAATGTCAAAAATCGAATATTATCAAACGGGGTTTTCTGCATGGCTTGGTCAAAAAACGTGATAAAACTAAATTTAATCTTACTTCAAGTTCATGATTATCTTTTTCACTTACACTCGTATGTATATAATGCTGTACCTTTCCTGTTTGCTTTTAATATGAAATCACTTATAAATGCATCCTAGGCAAGGACATCCGTATTTACAATGTTGTTGCATAATTTCCGTGGTCCTTTGGCCTGCCTCATTGTAGTTGGTTTTATTCGGACGCATTATCGCTGTCGTCATCACCATTTGTTGTGGGTTATCGCGGCAGGTTGTCGCCTGATATTACGGCCATATGGCGATGGCCTGCAGCTCCGAAAGGAACTCACCACCGAGCATAGAGGTCCTTGCAACCGAAAGGAGGTGCTGAGCACCGGGAGGGGGGCGGCTAGCCCAGCAAGTACCGCTCGCAACAAACGGCGCAGCGGCGGCGGCGACGGCGGCGGCGGCGTCAGCAGCGGCGCAACTGCAAGGATAATGCCGAGCGGGGCCGAAGGATAATGCCGAGCGAAGCCGAAGCAGCGACGTCGCTGCCTTAGAGGCTTTATAATTCACCACGCGACGAGAAGAAGGCACAGTCGTCGACCGGCTTTCGCAGCGTGCGCATCTCGTGACCGGCAGTTTTGCTCAGTGTATCCTGGCCGAAAGTTTACCAACCGACCAAACAACCAACGAACGTAAGCCAAACGCTGTCAACACGTGTGAGGACTTCTCTTTTTGTTTACGTGACAAGGATCGCCAGTTGTTGTTGCTCGTGGGCGGCTTATTGGATTTTGATATGGAACAGGATGTGGGATAAGACCGCCGATGTTTTGTATTTCTTTTTTGTTGAGTGAAACTTGAAACGCTTGTGCGCGCGAAAAGGAGTGAAAAGTTATTAATCATTAAAGGACATTTATGTCGCGTGCTGTCACACACAAACACCAACGCACACACACCAGTGCACACAAGGGAAAATATTTGCCGCAAATTTAGTTTGGCTTGTGGTTTTCTGTCCTTTCCTTTTGTTTTGCGGCTACGGGTCGCCGACGCTTACGAAATAATTTATTTGCCCTCATGCAGACAAGCAGCGCCGCATAATATTTATTTTTGTGCCCTCGTCCCGTCCGAAAGTCCAGAAAAAAAAATTCATCAAAGTCCAGCGGCACATTTAAAACAACGCGGCAAGTGGATGTTTTGTGAATGAGTGGGCAAATGAGTGGGTAAACAAGTGACTGTGAATGAATGAATGAATGAATGGTCGGGTGCAGTGAAAAGTGGCCTGCTTTGTTGTGCTTATTTGAAAGACGTTTACAGATCTCAAAGTGGATGCCAAGGAAAAAGGTTACCAACTACCATTTCTTCAAAGCCATTCAATCAAATAATTAAAAATTATTCAATAATTTTGAATTTATTACATTTTTATTGCAATCACACAACTTTCTCAACGTTAAAGTTACCTTCAGATGTGTATCAATGGGAAATTGATTCGAGTTTCGATTGGGTCAGTCTGAATCCCGTGCTCCACGCGATTTTCAATTCACTTTGCACCGCTGCTATCCCCACTCCCCTGGCTATAAACAGACCCGGAATCACTCCGATCGAATCCGCAGCCGAATCCCCGCCAGATTGAGTGCGACTGTTTAAATCACACCGCGCACAGTGCAAGTAGAGCGCCACTTTACGAGTGGATTGAGTCATCCGGGTCACATGGAGACGTGAAGGACTTATGGGCATCGCGAGTTCCTCTGGAGGCACAAAAGGAAGCAGGGCAGCACGGAGCAAAAATCCCCGATACCGCTTTACTTATATTGTAATCGATATTGTCCTATTGCCCAAAAACTCGAAAAAGTTATTTCAAAGTATATTTCAAACTCATATGAAAGCCATTTGATATTTTAGATACAGATAGGAAGATGCAAATTATTACAGCTAAAAAAGGTAGTAAACAGAAAGCGTCTCTAGCCATTTAAAATGGGGAGCTCCAACTGAATCGTGTGGTATTTTTCTGAGTGTGGGATTTGCGACTGGAAGTGGAACTGGATTGGACTTGGACGCCCCACTTGGGCACTGACACAGCTGTTAATATAAATTCTCGCTGTCTGTTGCGATTCGCTTTGGCAACGATTTATGAAAATTGAAGTCTTTGTTTTATTATCCCGGACACGGCAATGGCAACCAAATGGAGGCGGAGATGGATTCGGATGCCGATTCGGGGCTGGAGTTAGAGTTGGGGTCGGGGCAGGAATTTGAGTCGGAAGTGGAGTTGGAGTTGGAGCCACGTTCTCCTTTGTTGCCATTTGCTCAATATTTTATGCAAAGTAGCAGGGCAGCACCCACAACGCCCCCCACTTTTGGCGGCATTGATTTACAGGCAAAGGTAGAGGCTATAGGTTTACAGGTCGCCCTCCTTACGAATAACCGACCCACTTTGCACCGCTTTCGAGTCGAGTGGAGTTCATATTTGTGCGTTGTCGATTTTAGTGTGTAATATCTTTCGTGTTGTTTGTTTGTTTTTTGCCTTTTGTTTGCCTTTGGTTGGCTTCGATTTGGCCCCAGAAATTTCGCTCCATTCGAATTTTAGCCCATAATTCAATTTTAGTTTTAATTTCCGCTGCTGGGCGTAAATTGCATTTGCATACTAATGCACCAGTGGGTGGCTATTTGAGTTTTGGGTATCTGCATGCATGTTTGTGTGTGCTAGTGTGTGTGTGTGTGTAATACAGCACGGACTGAAATTCAACAAATCAAATACGCAGGCTTAAATCCGCACACAGACCGCATTTCGATCCGATTCGGTGAGACGATGTCGTTGCTGCTGCTTCTTTTGGCCGTCGTCCTGCCGCAGCCGCAGCTCCTGCCCTTCGTATCCGGAGGGTCCTGCCGGGAGGCACAGCTCTGCTGCAACGGCCGTGACTCCTCCTGCGTCGTCCAGAAGGCTCCCATCAACGCCATCATCGAGGACCTCAGCGACAAGCCCTGCTACTGCGACCACGCCTGCCTCAAGCTCGGCGATTGCTGCGACGACTTCAAGGATCACTGTGGAGGTAAGTGCTACTAAAGATTACGCCAACTTATTCACTTTAAACAGGGCATAGTAAACAAATAATTATACATCATTTGCACAACGAAAGTGGTTGCTGTATTGAAACTTTATAGTATTTTATAGGCCATACGAGGTCTAAGGTTACAATATTATATCCTCCAAGATCCATAATTCAAGTATAACAACACATAAGCTGTGTGTTAAATCCGTGTGGCTGATAACAAATTTGATTTAAGTATTATTTCCTATTGTGTGCAAAGTTTTTATGGATTGAACTCCGCATTTTTCCCATTTTCCCGAATTTAAGTTCAATTGAAGTGCAAAAACCAATTTCACAAATTGCAAAGCCAATAAACTCACGCCCAGATCTCGAATTGCATTGAACAGCGTAATTATGATGGTAATGATGGGCATGATGATATATGCAGCTATTCCATCTTTTTCAGCAAGTTCATTATAAAAGCCGAGACTAAAGTGATGGGAAAACTAAATATACAGTGTGGTGGGGTCAGATTGTAGGCAAAATCCCCGACATGACTGCGGTGCTTGGGATGCACATGTGTGGGTATAGTGGGCATGTCCTGGCAGACAGACATACGCACCATCTAGGACTACTGTGGTCGTAAAAAGGCCAACTTAATGGCCATATCCCGGGCTAAGAGTCTGCATTCATGGCTCGTTGGGTCCACATGGCCTGCCTGCCCCTCACCGCGTACATACAGATACAATTTGTTCTTCGGCCCTGCTTTTGGTTTCTTTTTTTGTTGGTCTTTTCTTTTTGGAAAGTACAATAGCTAAAGGGCTTTAATTTTATTACATACAGCAAATAAAGTCAACGAACATGCGGCGGCCTTTCCCAAATTAAATAAGACGCACACACGAGAGAGATAGGCACTCGGTCTGAAGTTGGAATTTTTCGTGCCAGCTGCGGCTACAAGTTGAAAGATGCCAAAAAAGAAAAAAAGGAATACAAAACTCCTAGCCAAACAAAATATAAAAGTCTCTACAAAAGTGCGAGGACAACTCTGCCAGCCGGAGAGGGAATCTCCAATTGAAATCCGGAGCTGCTTCCGCCGCAGAAGGCGCCACCGAAAGTTTACTTAATTTTGCATTAAATTTGATTTCACTTGTGCTCCGATCCCCGTTTCCCATTCTCCAATTAGGCGTCTTCAAGTTCGAAGACAAAAGTCCATCCATCTGGCAGCCGGAAGCTGCCATAAGCACGGATCCGCTGAGAATGCAGTTGCAATCGTGGCAGTCGTTTGATTTGCCTGGATAACTGTGAGGCCACCTCGACATCCTTCCAAGAAGGATGCGGCTGAGGGCCGCGAGAAACTCCAGACAACTCACCCAAGTGCCTGAAGCAAAACCACGTATAAACTGGGAGAAATTAATGAAGAACAGATTGTAATAATAATAGGTTTACTGACAATTGTATAGCTGCGTACTTTGTAGTACCCTGCTCAAAACAATCAATTGAAATTAGTTTAAACAAAATGCCTAGGCTCTCGGCTACGAATTTAAGCCACGTTTCATTCAATAAACCCTTAATCGTATGTAATAGGTATTTAAATAAGTTCTATTCAAGTCGCCGCTCGGAATTCCCGAGCGCTCCTTGAGACTGCCTCTTTGTTTTTATTTTATGGCTGGTCTGCCCGCCACAAGGATTAAAGTTGAACGTCTATAACTACCAATTAAGTTGGCAAACATATAGTATAATAAACATGTGAGGCGCAGACAGACAGACAGGCAGAGAAAATGAGGCGAGTGCGTGTGATGCTATAAATGTCAAGTTAAAAAGGAGCGGGGTCGTAAAGATGCCGACCAAAGGGTCCAAGCACTCGAAACCCGGCCTCCAGATCCACAGATCCTGATAATGGTCCTTGGATGAGCATCCAGTGGCTGGCAGTTACATATGCTCCACTCCGCCGGCGGCTCAATCAATCAAAGTCGTCTTTGTGTGTGGAAATAAATGAATGTAACTGTGGCAGATAACATTCGCGTTTCGTCTATTGATTCGGAATCGTCCTCGAATGTGTATGTATATATCCCTCAATCGGCCCTTAATTCGCCAATGTGGGAGTGGTATTGCTGGTGGTGGCGTGCAACAAATGGTCAACAAAACTGTCGACCATTCATTGGGGCATGCTAAGCAGGGCCAAGCCATCAAACTCCCATAATTCACGCTAATTAGTTCGCCGAAAGGCAACAGGCAAAGTGCTGGTGTCCTGTGTCCTGCGCCGAGGATATGCTGCACTTCTAGCTTTTTTCCGCTTCCCAGCCGTCCTTTTATTTTCGCTTTTCACGCGTAATTGATGACAACCATTTGCATGTGTCTGTGCGTCTGTTTTTCGATCTCAACCTCGGTTTGTGACGAAAGCTGAGCAGTTGTTGCAAAAACTAACAAGAATATTTGATTTTTAACGATTTTCAGCAGTTTTGGGCTGTTTGAGCTTACATTAATGTGCAAATTTGTCATTAGCAGTACCTTAGCTAGGGGATCATAAAATAGGGGGATAATGAATATGAATAAAACACTGAAATGGCTTTTTGGAACTTTAATATAATTAAAACTGAGTATAATTATAATTATTTGTTGAAAGCAAATCAATTTTACCATGCAAAAATACACACATGCAACACATTTGCCCAGAGATTAATAAAATCAAATAAATCTAGAAAATAAAGCGAACCAAAGCACAGCAATAATATTTTCATTATCTTTGCAGGCAAGTGGGTGCCTAATCCTCGTTTTTCGGTTTTCCGATTGTTTTTCAGTGGGATTAGGAATCACATCGCTTGAGCGATGACAGCGATCAAAACTTTCGACAAGCCCAACGGCCCATCGGCTGAAACCAAATTGATAGCCAGCTGGGCGTAATGGATGGAATGCCTTTCAAATTGGGATTTAAGTATTAATTATAATCAAACTGCCGCCACTCGTGACGACGTGCAAACAATGGAGGGTCTATGCTGGGAGTTTTGGAATAGATTTTCGGCCGGAATGGGATGGCTTGTGTGGGGCTTAGTGTTAATATTGTAATTATGTATAATTGAAATGTTCGCAAAATGCCATGCACGCGACTGCCGATAAGCGGTGGCCCTGAACTAAGTATAATACTTGGCCAAGTCCTTTTGGCCCGACAAACTTTGAGCAGCTTATTAATTTCATTTAGCGTCGATTAATCGCACTTGATACACCAGGCCCATCAATTTATGGGCCATGCCAGTCATCCCGAAGTGCCTCGTTCTGGGTTAATTGCCATTATAGAGACTATAAATTTACTCATCATAGACATCATGTTATTTTCGTAGTTAACAATCGCATGGGATGTGTTTTTTTGGGGGCCATTGGAAGAGTTTGTCTACTCTCATTAGCGAAGTTTAATATGCGTAAAATAATTTGGTTTCCTCTGCGAAGGCATAGGGAAATTAGTTTTCGTTGACTGCCTGAGTTTGGGGTAACTCAGCATTAATCTTAATCTTAAGTCTTAGGCCACATTTCATAACAATGTGTGTAATTAATTTCCACTTCAATTTGTTCTATTTAACGTTGAGCCACCTTTAGAGGCCACCTCTATTGTCCTTGGGGACCTTGGTCCAGGATTCAATTTCGCGATATCTGATCCTTTTAGCCGGCTTCCATAACTAATAATCAGAAACTATTGCGACGGTAATAGGGCGCTGATGAAGCACTCGTGACTTGTTGGTTGGAGTTCTGGCCTCTGGGACTCATATCCAATAGTAGCAGCTACACAGCGATGACTGGCCTCCTTTTAATGCTTTTTTTATATTTTGCTCACCTGGGCCGCCGGGTCGCTTACTCACCTTTTGCGTCTGTGTCAATGTTGATTTTTTGCAACCTGCGCTGCCATCGTTGCCAACGACAGCCAAAGTCAAACCCAATTTAACAAAAAATCAACGTGAATGTAAATTGAAACTCGGGCTGACTGCCTCGCATTCGAACGAGGGGCGCAAGGACCTGGCTGCAGCAGGACACTGGGACACTGGGACATCGGGACACGACACTTAAGCCAGCGAACTGCATCACTTTTGGTCCGATCCCAGGACTTTGGCCGCCTTTCGACCCCTTCACGCACATCCCTTCGCCGCTGCGTGAGTGTGCGTTAAAAAGCAATTTCTTGGCTTGTGTGAGAGGATGATGATAATGGTGCTGGAGCCTGGTGCATTATTGCCACCACCCGCCGACATGCATCCAGTGGCACTTGCAACAACCTTTCTCCTTTTTTGGCATAATAAATGATGTCAGATTAATTAAATCGGCGACAGTCGCTGACTGCAAAGGAAGATGCATGTTTGTTTGATGGAACTGCCGAGTCGGAGCTTGCTCAGCCGCCTGGATCCACATTATCGTCCTGTTTGCCGCTTGTTCGACAGTGTCTCAATTGCACTTGAAGTCGGATATGAGAGCGATTCTGATTAAAAGCAAATCTTATATGGATTTAATTAAGGCGAACAGTGAAGAGCGAAAAGGTTATCCGGCACACACGATCTAAGCGACTGTGGGCGGAGCAGACCAACTCGATAAGCCATGTTTCCCGACCACTTGGCCCCAAAAGGTATGCTACGCTTTCCGCTGGCTTCAGTTGGCGTGAGTCAGCACTTTTCGTTTGTTATTGGTAATACAGTTTGGTAATAATTATACATTTAGCAAAAGGTGATTACCTAAATGGATGACTAAAAGCTATGATGGAGTTTTTATTATAATATTACAAATTAATACCCTGAAAATAGGCAGGGTATCTATCAATCGAAACGACCTATTCAGCCAGTTTCACATTGTTTGGCTCGGTAGACGCTTAATTGGGAATTTTCCCTAGCAAATGCTTTGACTAATGAGTTTTTGAGCAAGTGGGCAAGACAAAGGAAATGGGAATTGGAAAGGGCATGGGAGCACGCAGAGAGTGAGAGTAAAACGGAGAGATGGAGGAAAAAAGAAAAGCAATGACAATGGTAAGCAGGGATTGAGCTGGCCAAAAA